CACGAGCGGAGGATTATAAACTCTCCTCCACTCGTTGCGCGACTGTGGTCGTCTGAGAACGGGCTGGGCACAACGTGTATCATCAGAGCGACGACGATGATGGTGATGATGATGGGTGATGATGATACACTGAACTCCTCCGCTACTGTTCCCTAGGAGGTTGTCTGGACTGGCTTTGACCAACTTTAAATGCCACATTGATCTGCATCGACATCAGCAAGCCTTACGACGACAAGAAGATGTGGTTCACAAATTAACAAAAACACTTTAATCTCAACGCGTTCGTCAATAACACTGCTAAAAAGCGTGGAAAGTTTACATGAATGCTGCTATAAAATGTACACGTGATGATATGTCAAGTACTTTGTTGAACTGTCATTTGTGTTAGGTCGCTTCTGAAAGAAAGGAAAACTATATAGCTCGCCTGGTAAAATATAAATGAGTTTAGATTTGGGCAATGGCCCTTCTTTTCACAGCAATGAGAGGCAATACTGATGTGTTTTGTCGCTGGTGTTAACTCAAACTGCCAGCAGATGGCAACACCATCCCAATTATGTAGTTCATACAGAAATGAGGCCGTTTTAAAAGACCGATTGTAAAAGGCTGGTCCAGATCTCTTGACCCCAAATTAATTGACCCCTAACGTTTTCCCCTTGCATATTTATTTCTGTTTGAAATAAGCCTCCCTTTAGAAAATGTTAAATTTTTGATTATTCAATCGGGGTCACAATACATCTGGACCGCCCTGGTTCAACGCTTATCAACACAAGGCCACGATAGTAAATTACGTTGAATGCTGCCATCAAAATGAGCCACACACACATGGACTCAGAGATTCGGAACAAATAGTTTCACAGTCGAGTTTGAGAAGAATTTGACTATTTACTATGATAAGGGTGCAGCCTTGTAAGATATTTCTCACGCCGCTGCTGGTGGTAGAGCGGCCTCTACTACAGACATCTCTGAAGAGCCTCTACAGATAATATTTGGTCTCCTCTTCCACGCTGGCTAAACATCTTGGAACTGGTGGGGGATACCCACGGTTTATCCCACCAGACGAAATATGCTGTTCAACTATTGTGTGTACCCATTTGTATTATTACTTTGCTAACAGCCAAATGGCACAAAAAACAGTTTTTTCTGCCCCAAAGACAAATTCACCTGGGTGTTTTTGTCCTTATTCTAAGATGCACACAATGTTTGGTCAGTATTATTAACAAGTAACAGCTGTGGGCCATATGTGGCAAAATAAAAATAGGTCGAAGGGCACCACGGTGGCTAAATGTTAACTTCCTCGCCTGGTGTGCAGGAGGTTGGGGGTTCGATCCTGACCCTGACGCCTGCTGTATATGTGGAGTTTGCGTGTCTCTCTCCCCGTGATGGTGTGGATTTTCTTCCAGGGCCTCCGGTTATTCCCTCCACATTTAAAATCAACATCATGCGTTTAGAGTATTAGGCTGTTATACATTTCCACATGATAAGGCACTTCATTGAGCTTTCTGAAAAAGAGCTATATAACTCAGTGGACCTTACCTGCTAAAATAAAAATAGGTTATAGCTTGTGATTCCAGGCCCAACTTCACGGCGCTGGTGGAGCTGCTTGAACTGCTGCTTCTCCCCGTGGAGCTTTTGCTCCCCCTGGAGCCCCTGCTGATGATGCTCATTGAACATCTTGAGCTGCAGCAGCAGCTGCCGTTGTTCGCTGCGGCAGCTGCACTTGATGCTGCATTTTGCTCGCTGTTGCTGCGTTTGCAACCGCTGCTCCTGGAACCGCTGCTGTTGGCTTCTGCCCGAGTCGCCCCTTCTCGCCTTCAAGCCTCTTCTGACTCTCGAGCCAGCTCCTCTGGTCCTCGACAATTCTCTACTTGCAGCTGCCGCTTGGCTGTGCGGTGCAGGGCTGTGTAGTGCTGGGCTTATTATGATGCAGGGCTGTGTGATGCAGGGCGTGATGATGGAGGGCAGGGATGTGTGATGCAGGGTTGTGTGGTGCGTAACTGTGAGATTTGAAGGGCAGCGAGAGGCGTCCTTGCCTGGCAGTTCACCATTATTGATTCATGCGAGCCTGACTGCTGATGAAGACACTGCATGTCGAAAGCGCTCCAGAGTTCGCTTGTACCGAATCGACGCTGTTGATATTATGCACTCCCAAAAGGCCGTAGGGTCTATTGTACATCTGTGAAAAGAGCTTTATATGTAATCGGATTTCTCCAGTATACATATTCTCATTCTGATTAAATTGCATTGTGTAAAAGTACTTACTTTTTTTCAATATGGAGATAGATATATGAAGGTGGCGTTTTGGTCCCTTAACTACGTCATAACTTATATTCTCCACAACGCAAATTATGATTTTGTGTTTCATGTGGGTATGATCCTGATGCAATTTCAAACTAAGAGAAATAAATGTACTGTCGTGATCATCATAGAGGAGGTGGTGGTGGGGGAGGGGAAGCCATTCTCCTTGAAACAGCCCTTGATGTCATTTGCCCATCTCGGCAATTTCAAAACGTTTCTCCACGTGGCAAGGTAAATTGAGCATGTAATGTACTTCCCAAAATTACGCAGTGTGGTTAAACTGATAGTAGAGGACCGTCCCCACGATGTTCGGTGATGTATACAACCCGACACCCTCCATCAAACAAAGGCCAAGCTGGGTAAATCGATGACTGTAACTCAGACAATCGATAATAGGCAATAAATCTTTGCATGAACCCCACCGCCATTTAGCACACATCCTGCCCAAGACTTTAAGTGCCCTTGTTTGGCATTTTCCTGTTGTCAGTATTAATCAAGATAACAAATGATGGTGATTAAATTAACAGTATTTCCATTTGTCTGGCCCGCTACACAAAATAATTTATTTTAACTCATCAAGCGACTGGCCTTTGGTACCAATGTTATCCGCTAGAATTTGTTCAAACAGGCAAACTGTGGGCTGGTTTTGACATCTTTGGGTAAGACTCAATGCATTGTTTTATCGTCATCATACTATAATGGAGCAAATGTGAGTTTGTCTGTTACTCTGTCCGGATGTTTTATTTTTGTTTAAACCCATTTCTTGATCGCAGAGCTTTTGTGAAACATCAATATTCACTTAAATGTAGATTTTATGTATTTCTGAATGTCAATAAAGATGGTGATTTCAAAATGATACTTTTTGCCAGTATCAAAGTATGAAGAAAAAAATGATAGGTTTTACCCTTTCTGGCAATAAAACAGTTGTGTTAAGATGTTCAAACACCAAATAGAAACATTATGCAAGGAATCAAGTCGGCATTAACCACACTTACTTGCGGTGAACATGCAAACAAAACATGCTCTGATAATATATGATGGATTGTCTTTGAAACTGATTGGTCTACACCAGAGACGGCTTTCTTTCGAGGCGAGCCTCAAAACAGTGTTCGACCAGAGGATGCCAAAAGGCGAACAGCACAAAGACAATGCCACTATCAGAGAATGTATAGCTCGGGGTGAGCAGCTACAAAACGGGACCTTTTTGCCAGTATCAACAAAGGTAGTTCTTATTTTTCCGTGCTATGCCGATTTAAAACATATCACTCTCGGTTTAACGACACATTTTACGACGCCCGTGTCAGGCCACCGCGGATCGCTTTACGACACAGATACATCCCTTAATTTAATTGTTTGCATGTTCACCACAAGTCACGTGTGTGTGCGTGTGGGGGGGGTTAATGCCGACAGGATTCCTTGCACAAAGTTTCTGCTTGGTGTTTCGACATCTCAACACCTCCTGTTTTGTTGCCAATAAAGGGTTAAACCTATTGTTATTTTGGCCTTCATTTGCGAGCCGTTCAAAATGAACACACTATCAGAGGATGAACACATTTTGAACGGCCACGTCTCCTCTCTGTACCGCGCGGCATCGTCGCAAGTCGGCCAATTTTGTCTGATAGTTAAAAAAAAATGAGTTACCTAAGCGGAGTAAGGAAGAAGGCAAGTTCGGGGAAAATATATTAATATTGTTTTAACATTTGTAAAAAAAAAACCTACGTGTCAATTTCGGTTTAAATTTTTTTTTGCCATGCTCAGTTCATTAACACTCTCGGTCTATACATTAATACACGAGGGTACTGTTTTCGTGTATGGTTAATACTGTACGTTGTTTTTTTTACAAATGAAAAATACTCCTTAATTTCCTCCTTTAGATTTTACTCATTCTAACCTTCGAAGCCTAACGCAATTGAAGGCCGAAGGGCTCGAAAGCCATCCGCAGGACCTGGGAGATGATGATGATGGCCCATAGAACAGTATACACATATCATGCTAGACAGTTATCAAGGTTGCCTTTTGAATTGGACGTTGATATTACAAAAGGGACCTTAATTTCGGAGCCAATGCTTCTCAGTGGACCAATCAATTGGCCGTGCGCACACATTCGTTTTTGCACGCGGGTTGGACGTCCCACGGGACCCATACGATTAAGGAGAATTAAATCCCCCCAGACCCGTGTGCACAAATTAGTTTAAAAGGCGGCGTTCGCTATCAAGCGTGCAGGTCGTGCAGCTGTACCCGAGGCTCACGGGCCAGAGGGGAGACCCAGGCACTACCAAAGTGGTGGGTGACGGCGTCTCAATTTCATTCCTTGCATCATGGCCCATGCAACGCCATGCTGTGTCACTTGAAGGGGCTCCAGATTTTCTGTAGCCTACTGTGTTATAGATTTCTCGTACACAGTACGTACTCTGGCTGATTTTTTTTGGGGGGGGAGGGGATTAGGAATATTACAGTTAAGCTCACGTGCAAGCGATTCGCACAACACCCGCAGTTTTCATAGTTTTGAGGTACGCGCTGGACGTGTTACCCTGTGTGTGCAGTTAATTCTTAAAGCAGATCTCGGGATCCATTGTCCTGTTAATCCCACAGACTTAATATCCAGCCGTGCAGCTGATCGATCTCCCACTGTACCTTTACAAGTACCTTATGTTGAAGATGTCAGTATCACTGTAATGTAATAAGGGATGCGCATTCCACAAAGAAACAATACACACCCCTTTGGAAGGTTTATTTTATTTGCAATGATATAGTTTTTGGCTGAGATCAAGGGCAAATGAATATGACTTAAAGTCGAGACATACCCAAGTAAAGCGGTAGTTGTAGACTGTGTGAAGATGAACGGTATTCCTAATGCCCAATGCACCTTAAAAATAACCTCCATTTTAAATTACACGCTAATTATTTACTTTAGTTTTTGAATTCTCATTTGTGAACTGTCATTTTCATTTAAAAAGGGGTCCCTAAAATTACTGTTGCACGTTTTTAAATGCAACTGCAATCAACATTTCGGTCCTGGTTTACATTTATGTCCCAAATATAGCCCTCTTGACAGTAATGTTTACTGAACAGACACAATTTTCCATAACACGCTATTTTCGCCTTTAAATGTGGTTTCCTGTTCAAGACATTTTCCTTTTTTGCAAGCAAAGCCACAACAATTATGCGGTTTCTTCCAATCAGTAACCCGTTTAGATTCTGTAAGTTCATGCAATAGATATACTAACAACCCACAGACACAAGGTCTAAATTAATTCGAGGGTTTTCTTTTTTAAATCATGTACTGCTTTTTTACATGACCTGCAAAAATAACATCACGCATTAAAATGCAGTGTTTTTGACAAAAGAGGCAGGACTTTCAGATCGCTTTGAACAAATATACAGCATTACATGGGCTTACGAAAGTCAATTCCAACATATTTTGTGAAATAGAGAAATTCCTTACACTTGGGTCAAATACATGAACTGTATCCTGCATGAGTTGGGAATTTAAACAAACATTTATCCAGAACTGTTTGAAGCTTCGCAAAAGCTGGCAAAATAAATTACTCGTACAATATATTTAATGCGCATTATATATACGGTATATATAGATCAAGTGCAATACAACCGAACAATACAATCCCTGGCAATTCCTTTTTGAAAATTTCTGCCAGTTGAATGATTCCAAACACAACACATTTTCTCATCAGTGATTTGTCCATGAATAAAGAGACTCATGGAGACTTATGGGCTACGATTTGTCCAAGCAAAATTATGATTTTGAGATTCTGTAATTGTTTTCATTTCAGTACCAGGTAGGTATGCAACGTACGCTTTTTATGTTCTCATTTTGTGAACACAAAATAGTCTAGCCGCATATACTAGCTGTAGTAAATAAAAACAATGCTCGCTGATTCATTGCAGAGGTTGGAAACTATCAGAATTCCTTACCCCCACTAATTCTGCTCTTAAAGTGATGCTAATGTTTTAATTTTCATCCGTGTGTTTGTGCTGTAGCTCCTAAAATAAAACTTGTCCAAGTCAATTCTGCCACGTGAAAATTACAGCTATTTACTCAATTGTTTGAGTCACGATCATTTTGAAACAATCACTGGCAGACGTTCGTTCCTAACCTTTAGAACTTTAGCATTTAGAAATACCACCAAGGTATCCTTGAACACAAGCATGTTAAAGCACGGCATGCTGATGGCTTTGTAAGAAAACGTGTTCCCATTTTGCTGAACCGGGCGTTTCATAGGATGCGACGCAGTCAAATGTGCTGCGTGCGGACGTTAGGCTGTCTGTAGTGCATCGTCTTCGGCAAGAGATTCCCGCAATTGATCCGCAACGAAGCCCTACGTGGCATAGAGGAAACAACAACAACAAAAAACTGAAGGGCGAGTGGACGTAGCTTGGGTGCAGCACATTCCACCATCCTTCTTTAAAAAGTGAAAGAAGACACTCCTGAGCTGAGCAACAACGGTGACAATACGATGAGTAAAGTCTGGAAGGCAGGAACCTCATTAAAAGACTTCTCATCTGAAAGCACTTGCACCTGCACACGCAAGCACAGTCCCATCACTGCCAAGGGTGAAGTGCTGCCAAAAATAACTTTTAAATAGGTTTCTCTTTTTTTTTTTAAAGCAAACGGACAAGGCTGTGGGGCCCTCTCGGCAGCCAACGCGGCACCGGCGGCATCGTCTGTCCGTCATCTGGGCACGTCGGTGGCACACTCCGACACGGGCGTTCGCGCGGGAGACGGCGCCGACACCGCCGCCTGCGAGGGCGACGCTGGCGATCGCGCGGGCGACGCGTGGCCCCGGGAGGGCGACGCGAGAGCCAAGGAGCGCACGGGGGTTCCCAGCGAGTGGGTCGGCGACGGTGCCGGGTAGACCACCACCCTGGCCGGCGTGCCGTGGGGCCCCCCTCCCCCGTGCGTCGGGGACAAAGCGGGCGACGCGATCGAGCGGGACGGAGACATGGAGGCCGGGCTGCGGGACGGAGGGAACCGAAAGGAGATGGACGAGGAGGTGGAGGAGGGAGAGCCCTTGCCCGGGCTGCCCAGACCCTCGCCGTTTTGCAACCGCCACATCAGCTCCTCGTTCTCCATCGAGAGCCGCTTGTTCGTCTTTGACTCCTTCACGAGCGTCTCCTGTAGAGCCGAGTGCTCAAACGACAGCTGTCTGCATCCGCAAAAAAACACCGTCCCAATGATATTAGAATGAGCTTGTGGCTCACGGTTCAAAGTCCCTATCAAGCTTTTGTCGATCAAAACGTTTATGACATTCATTGTGATAAACTTGAAGTCGATTTTTCTTTAGAAACATTGTTTGAATTGATCATTAGTTCACAACTCATGCAGGCAAAATATCGTGGCAAATATATAGTTGAAACTTAAAACGCATTTTAAAATGTAATACGCATTTTTATAGTCATTAATTATGCATTGGTCTTCAATGAAAATGTGTATTTCAATGCAAGCTCACTTTGTTCAAATAACAGCGGCAAGTGAAATTATTTAAATGTTACGTGTCAATATTTAGTATTAGAAGCAAGTCATAATGACTTATGAAGGCCTCCCCACGCCATATCAATCATGGCAGTTGTTTGACCATACTTCACCATGTTGGAACAGTAACCGTTGATCAAGGGGGAAGGGGCCCAGAACTTGGTTCAGATGTCAATCACCACTGCTGTGAGTCGTTGCTGGGAATTAAATTTAGATTGCTGTGTTTGTAGCACAGTGCACTTAGAATACACAGCAATAATCTATGAAGTATCACCGATGAGAAGGAGTGTGTGAGATAACATTAAATGTAACACGAGGCCATTCACACTACCGTATCCCCCAGTTTACCTACAACCATGCAGGAAGTGCGAGGTGAACAGGTCGCGATGCTGGTGACTGCTTTTGGAAACTACTGCATCCAAAAAGTACACTGACGTTTAAACGAGGGGGGTCACTACAGGCTCAGAAAGATCAAGACCACAGGAGCTGATAAACCGCCTGTTAAAATCCTTGGTGGTCCAAATGATCGCAATTCTTGTCTCCATTCTCGGCGTTCAGCAACGCTCGCCGTTCCCGCAATAACCGCACCGACAAAATAGTGAGGCAGTGGCGGTGGCGGCGGTGGCGTCGATGAATCGTGCAAGGTTCTAAAGCGGTGGTGCCCTGTCACGCAGCGTGGTGGGGGTGGGGGGTGGGGGAGGAAATTGCGTCCACTTTTTCCAGTGGCGTCAAGCGTGTATGCCTCAAAACGTGGACATCAAGCAGAGCGAGCCGAGCGTGCCCATGGATGTGCTAACAACCCCCTACGGTTAGGGTGCTTCATAAGTAGCGTGAGTGTGTTACTTTGCACGGCAAGCGTCCTTGAGTTGGCACATTCAAACGAGAGAGCAGGGAAAAGTTAGTAACTTGCTTACTCGAGAAATATTTAAAACAAAAACGGGTTTGTTCAATCTCGGCGTTATTAGTCCAAGCAGTGGCCCGTTAAGCTAATATTCAACAAAACCAATTACATTTATATTACACTAAAACAACCCAGCGTAATGTTGGATGTTTGTAATGGCAGTTATGTTTATAATTTATCTAGTGATAGTTATAACGGTAGTTTATGGTTATGTTCAAGAGCGCTGGTGAAAGTGGCCCTCGAACACGCACCTGGTCATAGCACTGTTCTTGTTGACACGAGCCTTCAGTTCTTCATTCTGCTGGGTCAAGGCCCTCACTTTCTCTTTCAATGCAACATTTGTCTCATCCTGCAGAAGGGCGAGAGATTAATGTTCTACGGACTTGTCATTACAGAATAATTGTAAAAATGCGAGCTTGCAGGGGCAGTATGGGTCACAATTGGCTGTGGTAAAATTATATCGCGTTCAAACACATTCGTCACATTTATATCAATGGAATTTGATAAACGCCAGCCAGTTTTATTTATTTTCTGCAATAACACACAAACTGGAATATATAAACTATATAATGCACGGTGACACGTCCTAAAATCCACTTGTGCTGAAATAGCAGTGTGGTAACGCTTAAAGGATTGAGACATTTATAGTTTTAGCCAAGATTAATGGAGAGTAATAACGGTAAGCTGCAGAAGTATTAACGTCATTCAACAAAATCACGTCTACTTTTTTAGCCAAACAATAAAACAGAGTATGCAGCGAGCTGCAAGCATCCAACGAGAATACAGCCAACAGGTGTCATTAATGATGAAAAATAAGAATAGCTTGTACCCTTTCTGGCAATAAAACAGATGTCAAGATACTCTTTGGTTCTTTCGGTAAAGTCACGTAGGAAAGAACCAAAGAGTATGGATTCCTGCAGTCACAAAAGCTTCAAATCAGGGTGTTAAGATGTTCAAACACCAAATCGATACCTTTTGCAAGGCATCAAGACTGCATTAACCACACTCGTGGCAAAACACGCAAACAAACACGATCTGATATTATAAAATATTATATATTAGATGATGCATTGTTTGTGAAACTGATTGGCCCCAACCAGAGACAGCCTTCTTTATGGCATCGTCTCACTGCCAGTGTCAGGCCAGAGGACGCCAAAAGGCGAACAGCACGAACGCAATGCAAGTATCAGAGCACTTACAGCTCGGGTTGAGCAGTTATATACAGTGAGGGAAAAAGTATTTGATCCCCTGCTGATTTTGTACGTTTGCCCACTGACAAAGATATGATCAGTCTATAATTTTAATGGTAGGTTTATTTTAATAGTTAGAGACAGAACAACAACTCCATAAAAACGCATGTCAAAAATGTAACGAGCTGAGATTAGGAGCACACTCTTAAAGGGAGCGCTCCTAATCTCAGATTGATACCTGTATAAAAGACACCTGTCCACAGAAGCAAACAATCAATCAGATTCCAAACTCTCCACCATGACCAAGACGAAAAAGCTTCCAAGGATGTCAGGGACAAGATTGTAGACATACACAAGGCTGGAATGGGCTACAAGACCATTACCAAGCAGCTTGGTGAGAAGGTGACAACAGTTGGTGCGATTATTCGCAAATGGAAGAAACACAAAAGAACTGTCAATCTCCCTCGGCTTGGGGCTCCATGCAAGATCTCACCTCGTGGAGTTGCAATGATCATGAGAACGGTGAGGAATCAGCCCAGAACTACACGGGAGGATCTTGTCAATGATCTCAAGGCAGCTGGGACCATAGTCACCAAGAAAACAATTGGTAACACACTACGCCGTGAAGGACTGAAATCCTGCAGCGCCCGCAAGGTCCCCATGCTCAAGAAAGCACATATACATGTCCGTCTGAAATTTGCCATTGAACATCTGAATGAGTCAGAGGACAACTGGGTGAAAGTGTTGTGGTCAGATGAGACCAAAATGGAGCTCTTTGGCATCAACTCAACTCGCCGTGTTTGGAGGAGGAATGCTGCCTATGGCCCCAAGAACACCATCCCCACCGTCAAACATGGAGGTGGAAACATTATGCTTTGGGGGTGTTTTTCTGCTAAGGGGACAGGACAACTTCACCGCATCAAAGGGACGATGGACGGGGCCATGTACCGTCAAATCTTTGGTGAGAACCTCCTTCTCTCAGCCAGGGCATTGAAAATGGGTCGTGGATGGGTATTCCAGCATGACAATGACTCAAAACACATGGCCAAGGCAACAAAGGAGTGGCTCAAGAAGAAGCACATTAAGGTCCTGGAGTGGCCTAGCCAGTCTCCAGACCGTAATCTCATAGAAAATATGTGGAGGGAGCAGAAGGTTCGAGTTGCTAAACGTCAGCCTCGAAACCTTAATGACTTGGAGAAGATCTGTAAAGAGGAGTGGGACAAAATCCCTCCTGAGATGTGTACAAACCTGGTGGCCAACTACAAGAAACGTCTGACCTCTGTGATTACCAACAAGGGTTTTGCCACCAAGTACTAAGTCATGTTTTGCAGAGGGGTCAAATACTTATTTCCCTCATTAAAATGCAAATCAATTTATAACATTTTTGACATGCGTTTTTCCGGATTTTGTTGTTATTCTGTCTCTCGCTGTTCAAATAAACCTACCATTAAAATGATAGACTGATAATTTCTTTGTCAGTGGGCAAACGTACAAAATCAGCAGGGGATCAAATACTTTTTTTCCCTCACTGTACATGGGATGACTTTTAAATAGCTCACGCATCGACGTATTTTCAAAATGAGAACAACAAACAGTTGGGCGCGCACTTCTTCCAATTAACCTTTTGAGGCCAAAAAAATGCGAACTTGCAAACGGAAATGGCAAACGCACACGGCAACCTTTTTGCCATCTTCCACCGTTCTGAACCGCCGACCGCATACGGAGGCAGCGCAGAAGACCCTGGACCTTCAATGGTCCATGGGAGGGGGGACGCGGGACTGACCAGCTTCTCCAGCTCGAGGATTCGGTTCTGCTGCTGGTGGATGGTGTGCGCACGCATCTCCAGCACGGCCTGCAGGCTCGCCATCTCCTCTTGGATGTGCTGGTAGGGCGCCAGTGCAGCCTGCTCGTAAACAGCCGTCGAGAAAAGTCGATGTCGTCACTCCCGTCAGCGCTGCTGTGCCGTAACGCAAGTTGGTCGATATTATTCCTACTTCCACAATGACTGCGATTGAACAGTTGGCCAGTGTAAAAATGTAGCTGTCTAAATGTTTGCGTGTTTTTTTTTTTTCAAAGTATCAGGTCAAAAAAATATTAAAAATATATCCTTTATGCTGCGACTAAGGAAAGGAAGATCTCGCAGACACTTGATCAAACGAAACAACCTCTTCACTCCTCTCAGCATGCCCCCAAACTTTGAAGGCTCCACAAGGATCAGAAGGTCAGGAAACACATTTGCGAATGCCTTTAAAAACGTGGGTGGGTGAATCCATTACAAAACGTGCAGAACCCAGGGGCACCGTATATATATCCGTACCAAGCCTCCGCTCCACACGGTTGTGAACCAGAATTAAACTCTCGGCCCATGACATTCAGCCAAGAATCACATTGTCACGACAGTTGATGTATGAGTGGAAACCGAGGACTTGTTTTTTTGACCACCTTGTAGGCGGATAAACCTGTCAGGATCCAGTTTTTTGGAACATTAAATTAAAGACGCAGCTTTTAAATTGCTTGGGGAAACTGCAATGTGTCAGTGTAAAATTTCAATAAATGATTTACTGCTCAAAATACTATCCATCATCGGTATGAGTGTGTGCCATTTCGCATCATATTTAAGTGAAATCTATATATTCCATATTCTCCGGATGTAACTTTTTTGCTCCATTTTAAAGAAATGGTTTAGGGGTGTATCTTATAATCCAGAAGATGTGTGTGTGTGTGTGACTATATTTGTATAACTTTATTGACACTGGGCACAAGATTTATGTGCGTTTTTACATTCAGGCGCATCTTACAATCCAGAGAATACGTTACATTTGTTTATTTTAGTTCATCAATTGACGCTCAAATTTGTTTCCCCGACCAAATATCACACAAAATGTTGCCTAAATGCCTCGGGCACAAGATTACATCTCGGCTCGCACATCGCACACGCACGCTCCGTAGCTTTTTACGGTGCACATGAATCCACAGCCGTGTGCGAGGCATATAGGTCAGTACCGCCTACCAACTGTCCTGATTTATAGTCGTCGGCTATGCCACTGGAGAAAATTCATCTCGCAGGCCACAATCGCCCAGCTCCAATACGTCGACACACAGTCGCACGCAACCTCTGCCGCTCCAGGGCAATGAATCTTTGTCAGGGCGCATGCAACTTTTAAACAATAAATCCGAATGGTCAAACAGACGCATCGCCAATGTCACCCTGCCAGGGTCTGGGAATATTTAACGAAAGTTGCACATACACCACTGGGTTTCCAATTCGCTCTTCCGTTCGAATACGTGCTGTTCTATAACATATATTATCCATATCGCGTGGAGAATTGAAATGACAGGCAAACATGTATACACATCCTACCAAAAAATGTATTCTGCTCATGAACAGGACTGAAATGTACACATCCGTTTGCATTTAAGCGGTCGTCGTATATATATATATATCGTAGTAGTCCGCCACCGTGGAGTTGATGCACGAGAGGGTTCGTGGGCAACGCAGCGAATGAAGAACGGCTCGGTCATCCGTTGGGTGGAAGAAACGGTCACCTGCACGGTCTCGGCGCTGTCCCTCTGCAGGGCCTCCTCAAAGCGCCGCGCCTTGTCCTTCAGGGAGCCGTTCTGAAAGGTCAGCGTGTCCACCTGGTCCTGTGGGCGTTTTTTATCGGGGGACAAGGTCACGCAAGGAATCACCATCGGCGCCTCTCGCTGCCAACTCGACACCTCCTCCCCCGTGCTGCTGTGCGCCCTGTCGCCGCGCGCTGTTTGCCCGAAGTCACTCTCGCAATATGAGACACTGTGCTCACGTGATTTCTCAGCTGCTCAAACGCGAGTAAAATTGTAACTAAAAAAAAAACCGTGCACTCGATGGATTTATATACACTTGCACGTGCATTGATGTCCCCGTTTAATAATTTCCTGAGACCAAATCACCTGGACTGCGATTGTCGTGAGCCTGTTGAAGCCAGAGGCTGAGGGATTTACAATCGGCCTTCACTTCCCCTCCTAAAAATGTCTCCGTCGTGGCATTAAGACACTACGCAAAACCCTCCAGACGTCGACTGCAATTGCTCTTATTTATAAGCTGACAATTTTTGTGTATTACTATTGTATGCAAAACAAGCACTTGAAAAAGACATCAAGCAAAAACTATTTAGATCCATACTATAATGTTTTTCCTTCACAATCTGGCATCGGATTCCTCCACTATGAATAAATATTCTCATTCTGACCTTGGAATATCGCAGCAGTGGTAACAACAAAAATCATACTCTTGACGCATGTGCTCACCTGCAATAATAGCCTGGTCCGCTCAAACTCCTCTTGTAACGCTTTCTTCTCTGAGTCATGGCTCCTTTTGAGCTCTGCAGCAGTGACGTGTGACGCACACACACACACACGCCTTAGTCAGTGTCCTTGCAAATGCTCATCATGCAACGTGTGAAGATAGTGCTGTGTTCAGCGGGCTTGAAGCATCCGCAGATATGTATTGCTTTTGTTAAAATAAAGTTATTATGGACAGAGTGATTGATTTAGAGATACTCCACTGATTTATAATTTAAAATTACCCTTATAAATGACCCTTGTGTATTAAGATTGGTGGATGACATGCAGAGGTTTTGAAATAACATTGATTTTTCTTGAAAATGTATTCCTATTATTCTCGTGGCGCATCTATAAATGTAGGCAAACAAAGTATGTACAAGAAACAACATTTTGCAAGACATCAGGTGGGAAATCAGAATTAAATTTGTAAATGTAGATTCAACTAATCACACACACGTGCATTAACACGTCTCAAAAATAAAACCGTTGCATTTCAACCACTGTGTTCCTTTCCAGAGTAATTTGTGTACGGCTTGTAAAATGTAGAATCCGCAACTCTTTCCAGAGGCGCGACACTATTTTTGGGCACTCAAACTCTACAATAATCAGAAAACCCTCCTGAATAACTCCCAGGTCGGCATCGCATGTTTAACAGTACCTAAAAGAAAACTTACTTTCAACTGAATCATGTGCTTGTCCAGGAAAATTAACGTTTACATTGAGCGTGTGTTTACCACGGGACAGGCTTACCGTCTTGCACTTTAGCCTGTTGCTCCTTCAGTGAGTATATCTCCTCACTGTGACGGACCTCGATCTCCTGTGCCAGGGACTCCTGATTTGACTGCAACTCTTCCAGCTGAAACAAAACCCATATCGGGGCACAATCTTGGAATGCGAAGGAACGCACAGGTAGACGCAAGCGTCGATTTCACTTGGTTTCGTTTAAAACTGTATGTCTTAGGAACCAACCCTCGGTTACAAAAGGATGACACTGGAATAAAATATTTGTTCGTAATATTAGCATGCATAGATCCCGTGCAGTGTATTTTAAATAATGCAGTTACGTTGCCTGCACGCTGCTAAACAGCTACACGTGGCACAACCTTACCTTGTATAGATTTATAAAGCGCATTATTCTAAGGCGCTTTACCACAATTATACAATTGTACGTAAGATGATAGTGATTGAACTAAACAGTGGGGTTCTTAAAAGTGGCGGTGTAGTTACGGTGAAAGGGGAACTGGCGGGAGAGGCTAAGGAGGGATTGGGGTTGGCCTGGTCTGGACATCTGTACAAAAATAGAGCTTTACAGCTCATCGGATTCGTCGAGTCTAAACACAGATTCCGATTCTGGTCGTCGCCGATGATGCGTGCATGGGCCGTGGCAGCCTCGCGCTATAACGGCGCGAAAAAACCAAACTTGCTCATCAACCACGTGCAAAAAAACGGGCGGGAGGGGGGGCAGGTCGGGGGTGGGGGGGGTGGCTGGGTGGGGGGGGGGGTGGCTGGGTGGGGGGGGGCAGTTGCACCGCCTGCGCACCTGCTCGCGGTGCTGCACGCGGAGCTCGCCCAGGGCGGCGAGGTGCTCGCGCCGAAGGGCGTCGCGCTCGGCCTCGTGCTGCAGCCTCAGGCCGTCGCGCAGCGAACACAGCGCCAGCGCGTGCTCCTCCCCGGCCCTCTCCGCCTCCCGCCGCCACCTGTCGTGCAGCTCCTCCTTGTCGAGCTGCAGCGCCTCGCACCGCGCCGCGCTGCTCGCTGTGCAGGTGGGGGGGGGGGGGGGGGAGGGGGGGGGGGGGGGCGCGGTGAGCAGCGGTGGCGTGAGGAGGCGAAGGCGCTGGGAATGCTCCGCGAGCGCTGCCCCGAGACGCGCTGTTGCAGCACCCGCACTTTTGTGTGTACGCATGTTGAACTTCTTTCGCACCATACGTAGCCAGCTGTGCCAATCGGAAGTGTGGGAACTTTACCCCCCCACCCCAGCCCAGCCCAGCCCCCACCACGTCCGACCGGACGATCGATAACTATAAAGACAACAAAATGTGTGTTTTATTTTACCAGTTAAGGCCCACTGAGCTGTATAGCTCTATTTCAGAAGTGACCTGGCCACAAATGATAACTCAACAAAGTGGCTTATCATCACGTGATAATTTATAACAGCCAAATACTCTAAACACGCGATGTTGATTCTAAATGTGGAGGGAAAAAACCGGAGCACCTAGAGAAAAAGCCACATGACCGCGGGGAGAGAGACACGCAAACTTCATATATACAGCAGGCGTCAGGGTTGGGATCGAACCCGCAACTTCCTGCATACCAGGCGAGGGAGTTAACATCTCATCACCGTGGCGCCCTCCGCCGACACAAGAGGCGGAGGAGGATTGAGAAAAACTTGCGCCGTTGTTTCAACTGCTGTGCTGGATGTTGAATCGAACTGGAAGGCCCAGCATGTGAATCATTGCACAGCAGCATCACCAAAACAAAAGCGAAGTAAGGCCCCAAAGTAGCTTAAGTGGGGGACCCGGATTCATAAAAATATAGGTGAATTGCATCAACTTTCATCTCAAATTCTAATCGTATTAAACATAGTAAGCTCACATGAAAAGCAAACAAATGTGTTCACTAACCTGAGATCATATCCGGGCTCACGGTTAACATCGGTGGCCGAGTGATATACGAACTGGCCCTGGGAACCTACTTCACCGATCCGCACTGACCGTGTGGTGAAGCATGGTCGGACAACCCTGAGTGACCGACGCACAGAATGGGGTGGCCTTCATTCAGCAGTGGGATTGACAAGTCGGAGTCAATTTGGCACTCCTCGTCGGTATCAAGCGTGGCATTATGCCGAGGAGGGATGCAATTACACGTTCCCCACGTTACGGCGAGCAGCGCAATCTCTGCTGCGCAGTGTTGTACATTCGAATTAGAAGGCACGCAGAGTTGTTTAGATCGTCACCAGGAGACAATGTGCACTCGTGAGTGGACAGCTGTTTGTCCTGCATTCGGTACGGGCGGCTCCGTTTCAAAGTGCTAACTGATCTTGCGCCATTGAGCTCCGTCGCACGAGAAACATGGAATAGGAGTGCCAAGAAATGCCGGTCGATAATCACGGCCGTCTAGTTTCCTAATGGTAAAGCTAATTCTTAGCTTAACTCGCAATACGGAGCCGACAATAATTAATGGAAAATATACGGTGACGTAATACGTCGATCAAGGTGCATAGAAAATGAGAGGTGTTTATTCGAGGCACGTGCATATATATCACTGAATGGCATGAGGAACATTCCTAAATTTGGTGACTAAAAATATCACTGAAATACCAAGAGAAACTTTCGGGTGCTGACGGCCCAATTATGAACAGGCTCCATTCTTTTTATTTCCCATTGGAGACCAAATTCAGAAAATATTACGACATCCAGCTGGTGAAAACTATTGCACCATCGTCTCTCAACCCAATCACATCCAATCCTGCTGCCTGTCCACACACTCTTTCATGTCCTATTCCTTAAAAAAAACACTTTTAAGGGACTTAAGGAGGCAGACACTGCGACTCGCCTCTGCAAATAGCCTGCTAAGACTGCCTCCCACAGGAGCGCCGAGAGCGTTTGTGGTTTTTGGACACGCGGGGCGAGTGGGAAGAAGAGCTCATCAGACGATAGCGTCACTCTCAAGGGGGCATATGCTGATTCCGCTCAATCTAAGCCACAAATGCAATTGTTATGGGAGGTCGTTCGTTATCCTGCGCTGCCAATATTTTCTGGAACTTCCTTCCGCACACCCCCGCCCCCTGCCGCCCGTGCCGTTGGACTCCGCCCCTGTTTATGTCCAGGCTTGAAACTTTTTTTGCTCCACTCTCTCTCTATTACAATTACTTATGCCCACTAGATCCACGCAGAATCTTGAGATGCTGTCGTATAAGGATGCTATTTGAATTCAAATGCACAGGTCTGTTGCACGATTTCTAGAATGGAATGCACGCAAGGAAGCCGATCCGCATGCCGTGCCGGTCATGGCTGTTGTTGTTTGACCATACTTCACCGCCCTGGCTAGCTCGTGAGAGTTGCTGTTGTGAGAAGGCACAGGGCTGGCTCAAAACCTATGTTGCTGGGTTTGCCCCCTCCCCCGCTCCTCCAAAACAAACTCTAAATAAAATGCATAAAACTACCACTATTGTGTGGCAAACATACTTTGGGCCGACGGAATTTGTGCTCTCGGCGTGCAACAATGGGGCATTGCAATTCTATACGCAGTGGTGCATCGGCGCACGTATACTGTGCAAGGAGAGCCGCTAGCGCTCGGGGTTTGACGCCACCCTTTCACGGCGAGTAAAGTGCACAGCCAGCACAACCCCTGCCATTCCCCGCTCGCCGAGAGTGCCGCGTGTAAACTCGGTAGATCGAGCGAGCGTACAGACGGCCGATGCACCAGTGCTATCGAGGGGCCTGGAGAATCATCCTTTGGCTATTGCAGCGGCCCATTTGCTCGCATCCCCTTTAACCCGTTTCCTCAACGCCTGCCGAATGTACCGTGGAGGAAAAACACGACGATTGACAATCAAATGTTATGCTAAGAAGGTGATCGTGCAGCTCATGAGGTCAGAGCGCTGAGGTGGCACCGCTGAAATGCTGGGTTCAAATCTAGGTTTAATCCGCCTGTGATTTAAACTGGGGTTAAGCCGCTTCAGTAGCGAGTTGATGGTCTGAGCCCCGGTCCCCAATGACTGCACAAGCAATCCCATCACAAAATGTGCCTTTGCACCTAATGTGGATAAATGTCAGCTCTGATACTTAATATCAATTTGACTGCCATGCGATGACAATTGCTCTCATTGTCAGAGCGGATGGGAAAGTGCTGGCCAGACGTCACTCGAAGGGATCTCAGAGGCAGCTCCGTGATGTCTGCTTCCACGGGCCACACCCTATAACACAAAGAGTTGCACCGCCCTACGAGACACCTGCAGGGATCCTTGGCCTGATAACGTGCATTTCATCACGCAATCGGGATAAAACCACGTGTGAAATGGCCACTGGTGCATGGGCGTGCGCGCGTCTCCTTACCGAGCTCCTCCTGCACATTGTGTATGACGAGAGAGAGCTCCCGGTCCTTCCGCACGGCCTCCGCATGCTGTCAGGGAGGGGCGGCCGACAGTGGGGTAGGAAGAGAGATCGGGAGGAGGGAGTGGGGTGAGGAAGAGAGATTAGGAGGAGGAAGAAAATAAGGTTCGGATTAAGCGCCGCGCATTCCGCACGCTTGCGCAACAAGTTGCCCAACGTCCATTCGGGTTTCGCGTTTCACGACGTGCGGCGCACACGTATCCGAGTTACAGTCTGTTCGCGTTTCTGCATCGTTGGCAGCGGCACACAGCTGCAATAGTTAAAACGGCGAGTGCGGGTTGTGTGTACCGTTAAATTGCACGCAGGTGCCGCCCAAGCGTTCCTTTGCCTCCACTTGGATGTATATTCAATGGGAACTTGTAACTCCCCACGACCAATGACGTGCACTTTAATTACCGTCACAAGCCTTGCCCAGCACAAAACCGTCTACACAAACGCGTTTTATATAAATATTTAAAAATGCCTAGTTTACATAAGGCTAACTTCATTTGGTAACATTACAGATCCCTAGAGAGCTTATTAATTCAGCTCGACGGAATGAAACAAGTTTCAAGTTAATGTTGCATGCTCAGCTATGGTTTGCAATACGAGGTTATTATACAAGCCTGGATTCAAAGTTACAAGGTTTAATTTGATTTGCTGATAATGGCAGCCTGGTATTCGGCCACAAGGCACCGGCACTGGCCTCTGGCAAATCAAGGTACTAAGGTATCTCTCGCTTAATTTTAAATAACTTGAGATTCATTTTATTTTTTTGTCGTTACGTAAACGCGAGGGAAACTGGCACAAAGGCTGAAAAAGCTGCCAGATTCGACTCGCCACAGCTCACCTTTAAGACCGCAACATATTTTTTTGCTTACTCAAATAAAAGGGGGAAAATCGCCGAGCCGAGGCGGGCGATGCGCGTGTGTCGTTCGCGTTGCACGGTGCCCAGAAAACGACCGATCGAAATCGCAAGACGACCAGAATTTAAATTCGATGCGCGGACATATAAAACAACTTCACCTTTTCAACGGAGCGACTTTCAAAGCATGTCCCTTGAAGAGCGACGTAACGCTATGCGACCGATACATATACCGCCGCCAGCTGAGACAAATGACCCTGCATCAACCGCAAGCCACCGAGCCACCCACCCACCCCCCTCCTGCTCTCCGGACAACGCGCTGTGCCCTTCCCTTCCCTCCCGCTACATATTTATTTACCCGTTTTCTGGCCTGGCACCCGCAGACGTAGAGTTTGCTGCACTTACAGCCCATGCCGCGGCTCTCCCATCCCGCACCGACCTCTCTGGCCCGACGCTTAACTTCTCGCCATCGCCGGGGCTGCGGCGGCGGCGGCGGCGGCGGCGGTGGTGGTGGTGCACCGTGGAATGCGCACGTCCATCCGCACGCACGCACGCACGCCCGTGTCAGCGCCGCAGTCTGGCACTGTGCTGACGTATTCTTCCCAGCAGCGCCGCAGCCCGCGCTTACCCTAATAGCCGCGCACAGCTTCCCCTCCGACGCTCTCACTGACACAAGCGCCACCGACCCCCCCCGTCCTCCTCTTTAAGCGAATGGTTACCCCCAGCCACATCCCCCTTGCCTCCCCCCCGGGTGCTGCCTCCTAACGAACCGCGATTAATTGCTTCGCGACGGATGCACACTGACACTGGCCGGCTCGGAATATTTTTGGATGCAAATTGTAAAATGTATTTACATAGCTCGGAGTGGCTCGGAACGCCTCCGCTGCGCAAGGGATTGCAGCTGTTACTTATTTCCATTATCGCAAAATACCATGAGTCATCTATCGCGTAAATACGCTGGAACGCCATGAATCTGTACCCATGCGAAATGCACATTGTGTTTCTGTGGAATGGTCTCTTACTTAAACTTACAATGTCCAAACAATGTAGTAAAAAAAACTTGATTTATAATATTATTTAAAATATATTCTTAGAGTAGTATACATTATTATTTGTGGAAAGATACATAGCTTCATCAGTTATTGATTCTTAAGTTATGTAAAAATCATCTTGCAATAGATATATGTTGTATGTAATTGGCACACGTCACCAGTGTAACCACTAGAGATGCTACCATTCACTGCGATAAAGAAAGTAATTGATTCTCTGATACAATCGCAATCCTAAATCGCAATTTATATGATTGGAGGTGAATCATTCCACTATTCTGTACAGCTGTCATTTACAGCCCTTTGTCATTCTTCTCATGGTCAAAGTGCCTCCCCGTTCCGTGTCAGTCTTGGGAGTTGTTTGACCATACTTCACCACACTGCACAGTGCCGGTTGGTGAACAGGGTCCCAGAACCGGTTCATATATCACTCGCCACTGATTTTAGCCGTGGCTGCGAAATGAATTGAGGTCACCGGGTTCGTAGCGCAGTGAGCTAACCGCTGTGCCACTGCTCCCCAATTACATAAACATCCCTGAAATCATTTATTACAGAAGAGAGATTTGGCCATTAACTCTGATACACTGGCCATCTCTGGTGAAGATTAACAACATTTTTTTTATGTTCAAGAGCAAATGCATGCTTGCCCATAGCAAATCCATAACGTGACCGGGAGAGGCCAGGAATTCAACTGTAAAATCTCAAACAAAAGCAGCCACTCACAGACAAAGATCCCCCGTATAGCATTAACAGACTGCAGGAGCAAGAGCTGTGAGCAAGCACCTATGGAGGCCAGCACAGCACACATCTGACCGCCTTTGTCTCCCCAGTGGCAATGTTTACACACCGCACCAGGTGCTTATTTGAGGCCGAGTCGACCTAGGGGAGGCCCAGGACCGGTTCAGATAATCGTCACTGGTGTCGAACATGAGCGGGAATCGAAATCAGGTCGCTGGGTGCGTAGCACAGCACCCTAACCGCTATGCCACCACTCCCCAGCCACTCACAGACACAATGTAAGTAGTATTGGCCAAATACCCCACTGCTGAAACATCTGCAAACTACTCAATCGAGGTTACACGTGCGCACACCACTGCCGACTGCGATAACTTGGCAGAACCTTCCTGAAAAAGGCTCTTGACAGTGAGGCTTTCCTGGGTAAACAAGTGTGATAATAATCCGAAAATACACCAACACACATACGAGCACACCATCAAGTACACATACAAAGATCCCCCGTATAGCCTGTAACAGACTGTTGGGGCAAGTGCTGTTAGCGAGCACCTTACGAAGGCCGGCACGGCATGCATGGGGTGGGTGGCTAGGACCACGCCCTGCCGTCTTTGTCTTCCGAGCGGCGATTATTCCACCACATATACTCATTTCAGGCTGAGTTGACCTAAGAGAGCGGGAATCGAACCCAGATGGTTGGGTTTGTAGCGCAGCGCGCCACCGCTCCCCACAACACACTCGCACGCTGAGAGCCATCTACGCGGTTTGGTGACATCTATGTGAAAGCCTGTCAGCTGCCGGGAGTCTTGACAAATATATCTCATTTGCAGTGGTTTATGGCAAGGAGGAAATGGGCAGGAGCCATCCTTGGTGACTGCTGTGTGCTCCTCTCCAATTACGGGCCAAGCAATTTGTTTTAAAACGATCAATGAACCTAGTGCAGGTCTGGCAGGAATGAGTTACAGTATTCCTAAAATGTCTGGGGTCACTTCATAAAAGCAACAGATTGGGCAAATACAAAGGTGGACCGCAGTTCCAATCAGGCTTCGTCAAGCGGGCCGTGTCGAACGTGCAAGGCTCGCCGATTTGGACGAGACAAAAACAAAGTGGCCCCTGCTCGTGAACAGCCACGACAGCGCGAGTTCGAGTCGCCGGCAAGGGCGACAAGCGGACGTCCCGGCATGAACACCTCCCCCCCGCGCCCCCCCCCCCCATCTCGCTCTCATCCTCCGGCATCTCGAAGCAAATGAGGCAACAATAAAAAAAAGGTGGGGGGGGGGGGGGGCTGGGGGGGGGGGGGGGAATTGGGTTCTAAAATTGTCCCGGGAATATTTACGCGCGGCGCCGCTGCTCTGGCTACGGCCACGTGGCGGTGTCAAGGACATCACTCGGTGCAAGCCGACAGGTGAGGGTTGGGGGAAGGAGCGGGTGAGCAGGGGAGGGGCGCGGGGGGGGGCACGGGGGGGGGGGCGAGAGAGAGCAGCTGCAGCGGATGGAAACTGTTCCCCTGGGTTCGCACAAAACGACACAGCCCCGGCACCGCTCGCTCGCTCGCCAGGGGTAAAGGGGCCCTCACTCGTCCGTGCGTTTGCGCGCACAGCAGCCGTGGGGCTACTGGCGGTCAGACAAAGCACCGCAATCCCAGGGACACCGAGGGTCACCTCGCAATGCAAATCGAGCCATCGAGTGTATGAGCCGAAGTGATTTTCCGTGATCGAACCGGGTGAGATTTACACCGTGAGAGATTGCTTTTGCCTACAATAAAAAAAGTTCGTCCTTAATTGTATTAAATAATATATCCGTCTAATTTTTATCGGGGGTTGGTAAAATACAAATGAACAATTCTGCCACGGGGTGCCGTGCGAAAAGCAATTTCTGCACCCACCCGGCGCTGGTAACCAATCTTCAGCCGTTGCCTCGATGCGGCGATGGAAACCACGGAGAGCAACGGAACGCACGAACCTCCGTGAACCATTCCTTCTCCGCCCTGTTCACCCCTCTTACGTAAGTTCGTCAAGCAGGCAAGAGCGCGATGTGCAAGTGGGCGCGTTAAAAAAAAAACCCAGAAGCAGCAGCATCAGCAGCCAACCCCTGTTCAGAAAAGGGCGCTCCAGCAGGACACCGTCTCTCGATGGGACATAACGGCCGGTGGTCGAGAATAACGACGTAGTGGCAGACAAAGGAGGTAACGCGCCCGAGAGGACATCCGCCGGTCGGAGATTGGTCAACGAAATCGGGTCGTGTGTGCAGTGCGAGGTGGATTGTTGCATCGCAACCACCGCGTGAGATGCTGAGACGGTGATGGCTAGGGGAGGCCTTCATCCAGCAATTGATTGATCATGGTTGATGATGATGATTGTTAACAAGCTAAGGAATATTTTAAAATGATCGCTAGGCTTGTAATGATTCACGACCGTTGCAAATCGATGAACGGCCATGATAATTTCAATCATCGATCACTACGTTGCAATTATGGTTCATGCAAACACCCGTGGTCGCGAGGTTAGCATGCGCCAATTGAAAAATAATTATTTATGTATTTATATTTCGTGACTTTCTCACCTTTTTCTCTATTTGCACTCCTATCGTGTTTTTGTGTTGTTTGCTGTTGTAACTTACTGACTCGCCCATGCTGGACATCTGTGAAAAAGAGCCTCATAAGCTCATGGGATTCCTCCTCCTGCAGTCGAAGTAATAAAGATCCTGATTCTGAAAAGAACATATCCGTTCACGTCCAATTCTACGCACGCACCGCGGCCCTAAGAGCCGATTTGAATCGTTTAATTGGTCAATTGTTTTACGCCCAATGATTACATGTTAACAAAACGAACCCTTCCCCTCATCCCACTAAAACATTGCCTGCAGGCCTCACCCAAGCCTTTACACGCGTTCGGAAACATGGCCAAACCTTGGCATCACTTAATCAAATTCCACTGTTCTAACCTTGTTTACGCATGATCGGATTACAGAGAATCGCAGACTTTTATGTAATGCACACATACATTTCTTGCGCTATAGTGTCATCTTATCGGATGAGAAAATTATTTACAGCACCTTTGTTGATCCACGTATTACACTTGCACTGTTTTGGACTTGCGTGTGTTTAGTTTGTGACTGTTAAACGCCTCGCTTGTCAGATGTACAACATTGCTCACGACCCCTGTACGCGTTCTCTGCAATATTTGATGTTATTGTTGTCTGTGTTGCTGCTGCTGCTGTGCTCAATCACCACCGATCTCCCGTGTACAATATCCGGGAAACGGAATCAGCCGCGTAACAAATAAAATAAACTCAAGCTTTAGAAGGCCTCCCCACGCCGTGTCACTTATGGGGGTTCTTTGACCATACTTCACCATGCTGGTCAGGGCAGGTTGGTGAATTTTGGAGGATCTAGATTTTATGCTCTATATTCGACACATTGGCTAATCGTGTACATTGTAAAAAGACTTATGCTAAAGCGCTCCGAGATGTCTTTGTTGATGTGAAGTGCGGCATTTAAATTATTAACACAAACTCAACACATTCCTCAATAACGCTGTCCACCTCCGATTAGCACGGTTGGCTATGTACGGTGCAAAAGAAGTTCAACATTCGCACGTATGAATGAAACAACATATAACAGGTGACGATTCGGGCAATTTCCCCTTATTATTGACGAACGTGTTAAGATTTGTTTTGTTATTTTATCCTGACGCAGGCAGCATCCACAACTGAGCGACTGACCCAGGAAGGGTGCTGATGCCGCTCGGCGTCACCGCCGTGGCCGCGAATCGCACTCGGCTCGCCAGGTTGACGGCACAAGCGTCGCACCACCGGCTCTACTCCGTCACCAAATTAGCGTCGGAAAAATTTCCGTAAAAAAGAAAAAATCTCGATGACAGATGCGGCGGCGATTGGGTGCGGTGTTTGGGGGGTAGTGGGGGGCTGGTTGCAGCGGCCAGTTGTGGGGAAGAGCCGACGAGTGACGGGAACTCCTCTGGGCCTCACAGGATTCGCTCGACGGACGAGCGGTACCTGACTGGAAGTGGCCGTCTCCACGGCAACTCAAAACACGCAACAACACAACAGCGGCGACACTCCCAGAGATCGCTTCCCCCCCCCCGTCTCTCCCTGCGAACGAGGCAGGAAACGCTAAGCAAGGTCGAGGTAAAAGACGCCGAGACTAAGTTTCTATCATCAATCCACTGCTGGATGAAGGCCTCCCAAAGCAGTCACCATCTCTCATGATCCAGCTATGTCATGCCGCCCCTCTTCATACGACCAATGCACGTAAAGAAGTTGTTTAAATAAAGAGCAAATGTTATAGTTTATCATTTAGACTATTAACATGTACACACGTTTTTAATAGAAAATGGTAGAAATATTTAATAGCAGTATAAAAATACGTCGATTGATGTCGACGAATATACTTGCGGTGCCTGCATCAAATCGCGTGTGTGTAAGAATCGATGTTTTTTTTAATATTTGCTTTTCCAATCAGTCGTGGCAGCCCACTGTGCTTCATTCAGGAACATAACCACAGCTTGAGTTCACAATTCATCTTCACCGGGTTGTTGGTAGGCTGGACAAGGCGACACGCAACTAACAGCCGCAGCCACAGCGAGCGAGCGAGCGAGACAGAGAGAGGTGTGCCAGACGTGGTGTGCCGGGTGTGTCAATATTTTTCCATGTCGGTGACTGGGGGACCGACGCGGCTGAACTTGCGCCCTCAGCGCGTCGCGCGTCTCAAGGTCACGGACGGCGCTGGGGTTTCACGCGGCACCGGCTGACTTGACGAGCCGTGCCGGCCGAAAACATCGGCGTGTCGGGCCCACAGGAAGTACGTGTGTGCGTGTGTACGTGTGTACGTGTGTACGTGCGTACGTTGAACTTCTTCCGCACCGTACGCAGCCAACAGCGCTAATCGTGAATAAGAATTGCGCACGCCAGGTGGTGGCTGATTTGGAAAGGCCGCGACGGCGAAAGCCTCGCCGAGTCTTCAGGCCCGCGTTGACCGGAGCGCGCTCTCTGGGAGGTTTGGGAAAGTTCTACTCGGGTGTTCAATTCACGTGGGAAGAAACCAGAGCGCCCGGAGAAACCCCGCGGGCATGACGGGATAACACTCAATCTAGGCAAATTGTCTGCCTTATAAAACACACTTTCATCCCCGCATTTTAAAGCAAAAAGTTGGGGGATGCATCTTTTCACGTGGTAGGTGCGTGTGTGTCTGCGCGACCATGTTTGTATGACTTCAATGACACCTGGCACAATGTCTCGGGGGTGCGTCTCACTTTCTCGAGCATCTCATAATCTGACAACGACCGGAATGCTGTCGTTTCTCCCCCACAAGCGTCGTAACCGATTTCGCTCCGACTGCCTAACGCGTCACCCACAGCCCAGCCGCCACCACCCCTCACCGCCGCGCACGTGAGTGCGGCGGCGGTGAGCACGTGAGCACGGCGGTGAGCGCGTGAGCACGTGAGCGTGAGCACGTGAGCACGTGAGCGCGTGAGCACGTGAGCACGTGAGCGCGGCGGTGAGCACGTGAGTGCGTGAGCACGGCGGTGAGCACGTGAGCACGTGAGCGCGGTCACCTTGGCGTGAGTGTGCTGCAGCACGACGGCCAGCGCGTCCAGGGCGCGCAGGTTGCCGGCGCTCCCCTCCAGCTGGCGCTGCAGCTGGCGCGCCTGCCGCGCGCACCGCTCCGCCAGCGCCAGGGCCCGCCGCTCGCTCTCCGCCAGCGCCAGCTCCGTCGTCGGGCCCGGAGGGAGGCCCCCGGCGTCCGTCTCGGCCGCCGGGGGCCTCGCCGCCCGGAAGCCGCCGCGTGCCACCCCGCCGCGCTCTTTGCCCGTCTCTGGCAATCCCGCACGGGGGGGGGGGGACACCGTAGAGTTAAGTCAAACACGGTCAGGCTTCCTTGCTTACAATTTATTATAATCATTCGTGTCTGTCTACGAGAGTGCAATAATCACCGTAAAACTCAGGTTGATGTCTTCTACGACTTAAATTTTACTCGAGCTGGCTTTTAAAAGTAACTTGTTAACTTGTTTTACTGGAAAGGTATTCTCTATAATACTTGATTAAGTTAGTGCACTGTATTTGACTTCTTCTGTAACATGGTTATTTTTGCTCTAAATTCTATCCGGTTAATTTTGCATTTATTTCTAGTCGCTTCATTCTGCTTCGTCATCGTGCTGTTCATTTGTCACGTTGGTGACCCACTCTTGCAAACCGTGACTATCCCTGTCCCTTGAGTTCTTACCAAGTGAAGAAAAAGAACCTGGAATACGTTAAAACGAATTGCGCTCTTGGCTTCAAGTCGTCAAACGAACGATTTGGAACACTCATGGTCTACATCACACCCCAAATTAGAAAACCGCCCCCCCCGGGAGGTGACATCATATACCACTGCTTCTGAGATTCATTCCTTTTTCCTCTTACCGCACGTTCGGGGTGGAGCTCTTTGCGCACGGCAATCAAAGTGAAAATGTTTGTCATCCCCCTCTTTGCCGAACTCAGGAAAGACAAAACCTAACGAGATGGGCTTCACCCTTTCTGGAAATAACACGGGGTGGGGGGGGGGGCGTCGTTAAGATGTTCAAACGCCAAATAGACACAGCTGCTCCTACAAGGCATCGTGTCTGCATTTGCCACACGTGCTTGAGGTAAAACATGCAAACAGAATGTGCCTTGATAATGTGCGCATTGTCCTTGATACCGATTGGCCTACACCAGAGACAGTGTCATCGTGAAGATGGAGGCCTTGTTTTAATAGTGGTCGTTGACCGGGATGACACAATCAAATCGGTTCACTTGAGAAGCCAGTTTAATCATGGGTGGCTGCCTGGATTTGAACCCAGGTTCACAGCAGCAACAGCACGACTCAGTGCTCTGACACGAGAGCCACTCGACCACCGGCGTCCCTGATTACTGTTGTTACATTGTTTTTATAGCTTTATTTTGGTGACCTCGAAAACATATGGTTAATCTAAATTGTCTTATGGTTGTTATTGTTTGACTTGCACCACATTGGGATTTTTGCACACAGCGTTGTAATACTTTTTTTGGGGGGGAAGATTTGCTGGTTTATCCCAGGATGTTTCTGTTGCGCATCGTTGCTTTAAGATGTTTCTCTCTTCATATTTTGTTTGTTGCGGTCGCACCCGACTTAAAAGCCGCATGACTCACAGGGCTATACCTAATAAATGAAACTTGAAACTTGAAAGCTATGTCATTCGTTAATCAGTAAGCATGATGCATCATGGTTGTGTCCATGGTGCTGGAAGCCGCGGCGCTTGAGAAGATAGTTACATCTGTTATTTCACTCCTAACCATGAGAGCAACGCAATTCTCAACGACTGTGAGAGCTTTTCCACGAACCACCAAATCTAACGGATCATATTCGGTCGACGCCGAATATCAAGTTATCACGGCTGGAACCAAAAAATATCACACACCGTTTTAATTAACTCGTGAGCGAAGCGTGCGGCTGCCCGCGTGGTCTTTAGCGAATAACGTAACATTTGTAAGCGCGCTTGCAAAATGAAGGGCAGCGGGGAAGAAAAAAAAAAGTATTGAAAATAAAAATGGAAACACGAAGCGGAGCTGCCGCTGCGTAGGTTTCTGTGGTTGTGCTGTACAGCTCCCCGAGGGGTTTTTTTTTTCTCCGGTTGTGCCACGCCTTCCGGCTTATTGTCGCGATGCTTTCGCTCAGCTGGCGGTGGTGGGTGCATCTCCGTGAACTCCTTGGAACCGAAGAAACTCCCAGCACATGGAGCGAGACGCACGCCGAGCGACGCACGGTGTGGCCCGAGAACAGGTCGGAGTGGCGTGTCGTGCAGATAACAGAAACGCAAACAACGAAGGGGCCCGAATCTTGCCTCGCATCCGGAACCAATGCTTGGCCCGCAGTGGGAAAGTGATTAGCGAGAAACCATTTCCCACCACTGTGAAAACACGCCGCCAGTGATAGCGTGCGGGCCCCCATCCTTCGCCGCATAAGCGTGGCCAAGTCCTCAAAATTTCTAACGCTCGGTTGCCCCCTACTGGGGCGAGTCTGGGATGCTGCTGTTGGTGTAAGGGTTAGGACACTGAACTTGCAATCCAAATCTCGCCGGTTTCGACGTAACCAGCGTGGCAGTTGAAACGACCAGGGCAAGTTATATTTTTCTTGAATCCTCCCCAACGCCTCTGTCAAAACCACGGTAGGTACGCCACGGTGTAGCTCGGCAGGTCGCGCGCGGTGGGAGAAAGCGTGGGTACTCCCGCCTCTGCCAAAGACGTCTCGCCAGCGTGGAAGAGACGCCCAAATAGCCTCTTCTCGAGCTTCCTCTCAGTGCGTGGGCCCCCTTTCTCCCGCAACAGCAGCAGCAGCCGCAGCAGCAGCGCGAGCAAACAAACGCAGGGCAGCAACCTTTCCGTCGTCATGGGGGGGCCGCATAGGCGCCACGCCGTCCTCGTCCCACGAGCGGCGCGAGATGATCGACTCCGCGAGAGCCGTACCTGCCGCACGACGCTGCCTCCCTGGGGTGGCATGGTGGGAGGCCGATGACCCTCGCCCGCGTGGAGTGGGGACCGCGAGCCGCTTGACACTGCCGTTGCCCGCGTCGTCTCTGGCGGCGGCAGCGGTGGCTGCAAAACAAAGACAAAGATCCCCCATGTAGCCTGGGCAGACTGTTGGGGAAAGCGCCGTTAGCGAGCACCTGTGAAGGCTGGCACGAGACGCGAGGGGGCCGGGTTGGCCAACACCACGCCCTTTGTCTCCTTAGTGGCGATGTTCACACATCGCACCAGGTACTAATTTGAGGCTGAGTCGACCTAAGGGAGGCCCAGGACCGGTTTAGATAATCGTCACCGGTGTTGGCCGTGAGCGGAAATCGACCTAAGGGAGGCCCAGGACCGGTTTAGATAATCGTCACCGGTGTTGGCCGTGAGCGGAAATCGACCTAAGGGAGGCCCAGGACCGGTTTAGATAATCGTCACCGGTGTTGGCCGTGAGCGGAAATCGACCTAAGGGAGGCCCAGGACCGGTTTAGATAATCGTCACCGGTGTTGGCCGTGAGCGGAAATCGAGCTCGGGTCGCCGGTATCGTAGCGCTAACCGCCGCACCGCCGCTCCCCACGGTGGCTGCGTGCTGCGTGCCAACACACGCAGCACGCACGCACCAGGAATGAGCACACGTGTGCTCGCACAGCGCTCGGCGCGCGTGGCCGGCTTTCCCGCGCGCGACGAGGAGGGGAGCGGAAAGCTCGCACGCGACGTTCGCGACGTGGCCGCCGCCGTAGTTTTTGCGGCGCCGACTCAAAGACTCACCCACGTTGGATGAAGGACTAAGCCACGCCACCTCGGCGATGGTGGTTATTTGAACATATTTCAACACGCTGGTCAGGGCGGGTTGATAAAGGGGGGGGGGGGGGGGGGGGGGGTAAGAGGCAGCACCGGTTCAGATTTCACTTCGATGTCAGCCATGGCTGGGAATTGAACTCGGGTAATCAGATTGTGCGTATGACTGTTGAACTTCTTTCGCAACGTACGTAGCCAACCGTGCTAATTGGGAGGTGCAGGGAAAGCACAACAAACTAACGACACAAAGCAGTTATAAAGAAAGGAGTTTTCCATCGAGAATTATAAGTGCACAGCTCCCAGCTGCTTCCTAATATTGGAAGGAAGAGTGTTCCAGACGGCCACAGGAGCGCATCTGAAAGCGTGCGATACAATGACGATCTTTGTTCGATGGTTAACCAAAAGCCGCTGCGAGAATGACCGGTTTACGCTTTGATGGTTTACGCTCTTTGCCGAGATCAGCAAGGTATTGTGGTTCATAACACAGTGGGCTAACCACTGTGCAACTGCTCTACCCGAACTTAAACAGGTAGAGTGGGAGAGAAAGAATGCAATGATATTTATTGTGGGTATACTAAATGACTTTAACATACTGATTCCAACTCATCGGTGTGCTGGAGCGTGAATTAACTTCCAGAATGTAAGTCAATGATGGGACCGCCTTCATTCTTAACGACGTAAATCCTTTGCTCGTAAAGAGGCTGATGAGTAGGGAGACCTCAGCTTGACTACGCCTCTACAAAACCACTCATAAACACATTCAGCAGCAAAAAAATGTGGACATCTCAACATATCTACAAATATACGAAATTATTAATAATACAAGTGATACTGTGGGCTTGTTAAGCTTCCTAAAAAATGGTAAAACACACTCCATGAGAAGAACATTCTTTCATTAATTGTTGATGGATGGCAGGCTGACCCCGCCAGACAAGTGACACCAATAACCATCCAGCCTGTAACTATTGCGAGCCCAAACCTGAACATTGAAACTGTTTCCCCCTAAATGTGTATTACTATATGCATAAACGCTTCAATATTTTCACCAGATTCCAGGTTTTTAGCCCACTAATGATGTACAATTCACGTGACCAACTCACTCACTCTCCCACGGCTCGTGTATCTAAATGTAGAATTAGTACATTTGTAATTCGCTCCATTCATATATAGGCCAACAAGGCTATCACGAAGGGCAATATGTTTAATAGACAGTGTAGTTGGCCAGTAGGGGGCGATGTTAACCGTGTGATTGTAACCTAAAGAATGTAATCCGAGAGTCATCTGAAAATATGGCAAATTTGCACCGCGATGACGTCACACCACGGCGCATGGCCTACTCTGCCTTTGGATAACAGCATCTTCCCCGTGCACCGTCAAGTAAACAGCGTGTATTGTTCGGTTAATACGGGACATCTATGAAAAAAAGCTTGATAGCTCAGCATAAATCAATATTCTGATTCTAACACATCCGGGCGGCTACACGAATTAGATACGGATGCACCAATAAATCCATGCTGCGGGTAACGTTATCTTATACATTCATATTGCGCCTTAATAAAGGCGCTGTACAGTGAGCTAACTTTGGTACAGGATGGTTGGCGAGATGAAACGAGATGAGCAGATGGGATGTATGCGCGTGTGGTGGTGACGATGCGTGGAATAAACGAAGATGTAAATGAGCTGGGGGACTGAGAAGGCGGCGTTCGCACGAGTGGGGAGGAGAGCGAGGGGAGAAGGAAGGGCGTGGGGGGGGGCAAGAGAGAATAACGAGCGGGGTTTAAGAGAAGAGCGGAAGGTAGTGAGAGTAGGGTGATCGTTTGACAGCTTATTCCAGTAACAAAGCAATTAACACGTTCGTTGGCATCGGCAACCTTATCTGCGACAATCCCTTGGCCGCAGGTGTGAACGCCAACACGGTTACAGGTGTGCATTCCATGGGAGGGGAGGCATTGCTTGCATCGTCCACGGCCACACGTGGGTCAAGACGTAACACGCGAGCGGTCCTGGACGCGCGTGTCGCAACGTGCCGGCCGAACACAGCCAAGGCACAACGGGGTCCTGAACACAACCACCGTGGTAGTCGGAGAGGGGGCATCGTATTCGCAGCGATGCCGTCAACGGCTCTCGTTTGTGGCGGGCAAGGAGCCGGGTCCGCCCGTCCTTTACGGCGCACGAATGCATTGGCCAACGGACAACCATCGGTATGCTGAGTACTTCTTGCCAGAATGTAAGCGTGCTGATAAAATAACTTAAATTAATCAATTGCAGCCGTACGCAAGCCAACTTGTATTTATTTTTAGTGGCTTACTTTCCTGTACTTTGCACCCTGATAGCTTTTTGTATAATTTGTTTTAACTTTATGTATTTATGTAGGTATGGTGAACTTCTTTCGCACCGTACGTAGCTAACCGTGCTCATCTGACCCGCCCCGACTGGACATCTGTGGAAAAGAGCTTCATAGCTCATCGGATTTATCCAGATTCTGATTCACTGCCGAATGCCTCCCCCGTGCCGTGTCAGGTTGTTTGACCATACTTCACCACACTGGTCAGTTTGGCACTAGTGCAGCCACGCCGATGCAAGATCACATTTCTGACACCGTGCTGTTGGTACAAAAGAAATGTCTGTCGGCATATTTCCGCACCCGGCACACCGCACCCAGTATATCTCTCGCAATGGCTACGGGCTACCAGTCACGTGCCACCTCCAGTCTACGAGCGATCCGGAAAATGTTCCATGAGAAATTTACTGTATTTGGCAGCGCTTGCTTTGAACGGCCGCTATTCCAGGAGGGGACCTTCGAAAAAACAGGCAGCCTTTGACGTGCCCGGGGGGAGGGCGGTCACGGGAATACACTTCACGTCAGCCCGACTGTCCTTCCGAGCTTCTGTTTAGAAGGCACAATCAGTCAGGCCGCGCTTTCTGCACGCTAAATTTAGCTTTCACGTGTGCAAAAGGCACTTTGGGAGAGAGAAAAAAGAATTACACGTGAAAATCAAGTTATGACAATTAAAGACCACTACAATGCAGCTACACTCTTAAAGGACGTTTTCAATATAATGGAAGGATACGTTTTATAAATTGGACTGTATTGTGAATATTCAGCAGCATTGCTACATTACTTCCTACTGTGTACCGCACTCTCATAACCAAGTTTTAATTAGTTAATGCAACAGACTTTCAAGACGAGGCGGAAATTGCTCCGTTTTCCCCTGTTAATCCACAACCACTGAACCGCAAAATCGTGTTTTGGGCCAGCAAGCCCTATGACTTTCGAACAACACGGCTTGGCCCCTCGCACAGAGGTTCCCGACAAAGCCTTGCGGCTACCAACCCTGTTTAAACACGCGCAAAAAAAAACGTGCACACAAAAGACCGGTGAACGATTCCATGAACGCAGCAGAAACTGCCCGCGACAGATGACCGGCCCAAGCAGCACCACATTTTGGGATTTTGTAGCCGTATTCCTGGCCACAAATTCCCATTCTTTTTGGGCACTGCTAAAACAAATACAGGAAACTGTCTGTTTTTCCTGCCTGCGGCCACCCCGCCTGTTCTCACGATGAAAGCATCCGAGGGTTACTGCTAAAACTTGAACTGCCAAGAGGCAAGGTAATGATGCCCGTAGGCACAGCATTGGGCCTTATGTTTCCGAGACTCGAGCAACAACAACAACAACAAGAAACCACTGGTATCTGCTGATGAGAAGAATGCACAAATTCCCTGAAAAACCCTTGATAACCCACAATAGTGGTGGCTCGACATTGGCGGCCGATGAGGCCTGGCCCCACCACAAATAAAAAAAATATTAAGAAAAAAACGAAACAATACTTACTTGCACATTTAAGTTGTAAAGTGCATATGAAGCTCCGTTTGAGACTAGATGAAGCACAATTTTTACAAAGGGTGACTGGTCATAACTGGAAAGCGGGCTGTTGCTCCCCACCAATGTACGAACAATATATTAACCCACTGTCCCACAAGGTTCTATTTTATGAAGTAACCAGGCATGGCATCTTTGACACACTCGACAAACCCACTTTTGATATTTTGTGGTGTATCTTCACCCCACCCTCGCACAGGTGTCTACACAATGAGCTTCATAATTCACTTAAATCTCTCAACAAATCCCTACCTTCCAGACAACGGAGCATTTGTGGGCTTATACGCAATTTTTTCAAGGGCGACTGTCTCCCTCGTGTTCCCAGACAACCTCAAAAGAAGTACACCTCCAAAAAATAATAAACGTTATTTAAATGTGTTCGCCCATCCCATGGCCAATCGCAATGCTCCAGGGGAGATGTCGAGATCGGTGGCTGCTTTTTGGCAAGAACGGTGACATTAAGATTATATATTTGTTTTGTATTAAAAAGAGGCTTTACCCTTTCTGACGTAAATGCACGTGCTAAGATGTCGAAACACCAAATAGACACCAACTATAAGATATCAAGTCTGCATTGACCACACGTACTTTGTGGTAAAACATGCCAACAAAATATGCTTTGGCAATGTATGCATTGTCCTTGAAACTGATTTGCCTACACCAGACACAGCCCTAGAGGTAAGATGGCTTTGTCTCACCAGTGCTATAGACCAAAGGATGCCAAAAAGTAAATTGTACACGGACGATGCAAATGCCAAAGCATTAATAGCTCGGGTTAAGCTGTTATATTAAACATAGATATAACAGATTATATAGCAGATATAACTGCTGGTGATATAGCAGATTAAATTAAAAGTTAACTGTACACACAAAACTTGGCCTGCGGTATCTATATACAAACAATAGCAGCAACGAACTAAATCAAGATCATTGGTAGGATTTTTTGGTTATCAAAGTAATGCATTCATGAACATCGTTCTTTTGGAAGATGTGAGCTTATTGCTGCATTGGTTAAATACGTCAAATTGTGATTTTACGACCGTTTGGACAGGAGCCCAGATCTTTGTTTTCACTAAAAGCACGTCAGGAACCCACCCTGAATTGTTACATTTCCTGCCCCGCATTGTTGTGACCTTGGAACATTCGAATCTCTGGGAAGAATACAAGCTGCCACTCGCCGTGACAACAACACGGAACTACACCAGCCCTTATATATATACATTTCGGTGTTTTTGCCCATTTAACATTTCATCAAATTAAATTCTGTGCTCTCCTGTTACCTATTGTTGTTGGAATAGTCTAAAAATAATCTCCTTATTTCATATCGCTGAACAGAACGGACCATACAATGTACAGGCACAACTGACCATACGAGATATAACGAAGAAATGCCCGATCCGCGAATATGAAGGAGACATCACAGCGATACACACTCTGCTGCTCCTCACGTGCCTGTCTGGCTTGACCACCTGACGTTCAATTGTAGTTGCCGCCCTGCGTCTACGTCTTAAAAATAATCAAGGAAATAAATAACGGGAGGTGGTGGGGGAGTGGGGGGCGGAACGGAACGGAGCGGAAGTCACCGTTGGCACAGGGCTGCGTGGGCAGCGCTGGGCGAGGGTCGGTGCCGGTGCCGGTGGGCGTCCGTGCTGGAGTCCTGCCGGGGCTCGCGGGGTGCCGCGACGTTCCGTTGCGCAGAGACGCCGACCCTGCATCGCGGGCGGCGGAGACGGCGGGGGGGGGGGGGAGGGAGGAGAGGGGGAGACGGAGCGCCGGGTGAGGTTCTTGAAAGCGACCGGTACCAAGGGGACGCCCCCCGACGCAGAGAGGGATCCGTGAGCCACAAAATAAAATTCGCCTGCCCGCCGCGACGAGCCAAACGCGACAATATGGCACAACGCGCGTATATCACGATCCATTCCTGGATGGCCCCCACCGGGGTCTAATGATGACCGTGTGAATGTTTCATCAGGAGGTGGTTGAATATTGTGAAAGTGAGAGCTCCGTACCTCGAAGGGGAGGAATATTATTGGATGTAATAGGTGGAACTGAGGTTGGTGGGAAGATTTGTAAATGGATCACCCCGTATATTTGGAGTTGAGATTATTGCATCACAAGAGCATGAGAGATCCTGCCTTGGGATGACCTTCATCTGGCCATCCAGCAATGGTTGATCATGGCTGATGATATACTGGGAATTAAGAATGTAAAATCACACCCTACCTCCCCAGTTATTTGATTAATTGGCAGGATTTTAGGTGATTAAAAAAATTGGTTCTGTGTTTTGGCCTGGGCCCGATGAAAGATGCAGGTAAGCTCAATCCCTCTACATACGGGAAAAAACAATTACATGAAACTCACAGCCCCGCATGGATCAAAATAAATTCATACATAACAAGTGAGCAAATTATTATGATGTAAAAATAATATTAAAAAAACATTTGTTGGACCTACATACAATTTGTACAGCTCTTTATTAAGCCACTGTTGGATGTAGGCCTCCCCATGTTGTGTCGGTCTAGGAAGTTGCTTGACCATACTTCACCATGCTGGTTAGTGCGGATTAGTAAAGTGGAGGGCAAGCCAAGGACTGGTTCCAATATCACTCCTCCCTGATATTAGCCATGAAAACCTTCAGCCATTGCAGAAATCAGTTCGCACCTCAGGTCGCAACAATTTAGTGGTAGCGATTTATTTATACAGCTCATAAAGAGTGAATACGTTAATCGTCCATTTGTTTTTAATTATCACGCAAGTTCACTTTTATTGATCATGCAGAAAAATTGGAATTGGAAGCCACTAAAGCTGTGCCACCTCATGTGAGCTCACGGACTAATGGCCAGGAACAGGAACCGAACTCAGGGTGGCCCGGGTCACAGTGCATTCATCACATTGACGATAATGACCTCCATTATAACAGAGTGCAAACAAAGTGCTGGGGCAGACTTCCCCTGTGGAGACTGCAAGAGCTGCCCGGAATGCCCAGTGCGTTACACGTGTTGCCATTCCTTAGCCGTGACTCCACTCGCCCAAAATAAATATATACAGTAAAAGGCGCGTACTTTGCGGCGAGCCGCAGTCCGTCGTGCTGTTTATACCTGGGGAGCGTGATATTGCCAGCCGGGTGCCGCACCGAGTGGCCATGCGTGTTCCAGAGCGCGGTGTTAGCGAGAAAGGGTCAACGTTTTGTTAGTCTTAACTCGAAAGAAATGCAACATTATACACACTTGTACGTTGAACTTCTTTCGCACCGTATGCTATGTTAAACGCGTAACTCCGATGCGCATTCATGGCATTCTAACAGAACCGCTTAGAGATTAAGTGACGAGCTTAAACGTGAAGTTGTTACGTGGAGCAAAAAGCCTTTCAACGTCTTGAAACGTGATGCTTGGATGTGCTGAAATTAATGGATTTAACGTGATTCAGTTTATCGAGAGTCGATTGGGAGTCGCAAATCGATATCAGAATTGATACTCTTACTGTACGGTGCATTGTAGCACCTCTAGCAGCTGCAGGCATCACATCAACCGATTAAATATAATGTATGCAAATACGAAAAAATCGATTCTCTCACAACAAAGACATACACACGTGGTTCCACATGTGTCACGAGCAAACAAATCGATTTTAATCAATGAATCGACGCATCGCTACAGTTCCGAGACTCAACAAGCACAGACGCAGTACTGTCAGCGACGATGCCAATTTATTAATGCAGCAGAAAGGATTCTGGTTATTTATTTATTTGATTATATAATTTCCACATGTCCCGGTCTGCCCAAGCAATGTGTCAAAGCAGATTACAATGTAATTTCCCCTCCAGAATTCACGATGTTTTTTCAGATGGAGTGGCTCGTCACCATACACACAGCCAACTGTCCCCTCAAGTGATTTTAGGTGTTAAGCGAATTCGTTGCTTGCCACGCGCGTTTGCTGGGAAACGCACAGTTCAGCCCGACGAAACGCCTTGCTATGTTTTCGCCATCAACTGGCAAAAGTAATTCCTTGGCCAGGGTTTGTTTCCTTGCCCAAAGAGAACAAACTAATGGAGAAATGCGACTTTTAGAAAGTACACTCATGAGTGGTACACGTTGTCGACGCCGCTTAAACAACGGCAGGCGATGTTGTAAAGGGCGTCGAAAAATGGCAAAGGTGTAACCTTGTAATTGCTGCATCTCGCCGACGCCGACTTGAACGTCCGCCACAATAATACGTCGGCTCTACAAAGCCTCCGTTAGCGGGTTTACATGTCTTGTCTCCACGTGGTCGCGTTTTTTCCCTCCACATTTTAGAATCAACACATGGAAAGCCACTATGTTGAGCCATCATTTATGGCCAGGTCGCTTCTCAAAAAGAGCTACATAGCTCAGTGAGCTTTACCCGGTAAGAAAAAAAATATATATATAGTTGAGTTTTATTCGTAGATGTTTAAGCGATTTGTTTACCTTACCTATACTTTTCACTCCTAACCGGCCACGACTGGACATCTGTTCAAAAAAGTTTCATCGCCCATCGGATTCCTCCGATGGCCGACGCTTCCACACTGGGCAGATGTCTTTGAATATACAGGAGTCCCTACACACCGCGAGCTGTCAATCAACAAGACTGTGGCCAACTCAATACTACTGGTGGGTGGACAGAGGCGGGGTGATTTAAGAATCTTGCAAAGGTACCGTGCTGTAGAACACAATAGTCAGTGCACATTTCTATGCCAGGGCAAACAAGCTTTGGCTAAGTATCCGATGTCTATTCTGTGAAAACTCTCAACCAAAGACGCGCTGAGCTTGCGGCTGGCTACGGCACGGACCTCCACTACACCACTCGAGTGCTCAGCTTAAACAAGGTAGACTGAAGGCTCCGGCCAATAGTGAGGATTCAAGAGCCACTCCTCTCCCCCTCCAATCCCACCCTCTTACAGAATTAACCACACGAGAGGTCAGATGAAGCTACAAAGCTTGTGCTTATTTTTGTGCACAATGGGGCATTTTATTTTCGCCAATTCCTTCCTGCGCCGATTTTTTTGCCGTGCTTGCCGCAAGACCAAACGCCCTCCCCACACGGTGGCGGGAAGGAGAAAGCCTCGATGACTGCCCTCACTTTCACGCCATCGTTAGCACGGTTGGCTACGAACAGTGCGAAAGAAGTTCAACATGCATGCATCATGCACCGCGTAGTTCTCAGTGTGGCCTTTATGGACCGTCGGGGAAAGTAGTACTGTTAGCAAGCACCTATTAAGGCCAGCACCGGCAAGTGAAGGAGTAGCGTGGCCAGCACCACACCTGGCCACCTTCCACACCCCACCCCCCCACAACTGATGTTCATACACTGTGCCAAGTACTCATTTAAGTCCAAGTCAACCTCGGGGAGCTGCTCAACTCGTTCAGGTTTCTGGATCCTGTCCGCCGAGATCGCGTCGAGAAAATATTCCCAAAATTGGTCGACGGGGCTCTCCAAAAAGGGCCGCAGATGAGAGTGGGGCCACCTCCGCCGTGTCGGACGACAAGCACCAGGTGCTCGGGATCAACCTCGCGGCATCCCGGCCCAACAGCTTTTGAGGCACGGCCACATTTTACCACACTGTAACGGCAATTCCTAAGGAATTACCGACATTCTTCGCCAGCTCGGGCTTGTTACTGCAGCAACAACGTTACAACAGGACACATCGCCAAGCCGTGCGTGTTGACTTACGTTAATGCGTGCGCGCACACACGCGCCCGCAAACCACTGCAGCTACGCACCGCGCACTTTACCCTGTCGGCTGACGCCGCCTTAATGCGCAGCCACGACCTTTTAAGTAGTTATGCTCGCCGTCCAGAGTGAAACGCGCCGCGGGCGTTAATCGCCATCCGTGCAACGCGTAAAACAAAACAAACAAAAAACGAAGCCTCCAAATGCATTAAAAAAAAACGACAAACGTTGAACACGACACGTTGAAAAGCACGGGTCAATGGTGTTAAATGTCACAGCGAGGTTACGGTAAAGAAGGCGGGAGACACTTACAGGACGGGAAGGGGTAGGGGGCTCGACGGACGCAAAAGCTGACGAGCGAGGCGAGGAGCGAGAGTGCGGGAGCACCGACCACGGCAACAAAGAGGAGGGAAAGGTCGTGCGAGTACCAGAGTCCCCCGCAGCACAGTGACAGCACGGTCATGGCTGAGTCGAGAGAAGAAGGGGGAAACACAGGGCACGGGCCGACACTATAATAATAACAACAAAAAACGATTATCCTATCCCACGCGCGGCGAGCGCGGCTGACGAGGCAGCCTGCCCGCTGCCGTCTGCGCGTGTGCAGCGGACGCTCCTCGGCGGCACGTTCGATATTGGCGTCCCGGATCGCGGTCCAGAATGCGGGGCCGATCTTCGAATCCCAGCGGCTCCGTTCCCTAACGTGACGCGCACGTCCATCGGAAAAAAAGGCCGATCCAAAGTCAGCCGGCCTGCAGAAAAACTTCCAGCCTTTGCTGCGAGTCAGCGGGTCGGCGATTTTTTTTTTTTCCCGCGCGAAGATCTCCAAAGCGGCGCTCGCGTTCTTCTCGCTTTGCTTTGCTTGCTTGCTTGCTTTTTTTACTTTACTTTACGGAGTCACATCGAAGGGCAAAAACGCGTTCAATATTCCGAGCTTAAATTCTTGCGTTTGACCTCCCGCTGCCGAGAACGATTAGGCACAAAAAGAGTGAGAGAGAAGCCACATGCGCTGGAGCGCTCTCAAAAAAAAGCCGCCGCACGCGAAAGGCAGGCAACCCAAGCAGCAGCAGCAGCAGCGCGACCCCGCCGCTCCCCGCTAACGATTCACGTGCCGCATGCCGCCCTCGCCGACCCGGCCGTCCAACTGAAAGCGGCGTGCATACGTTGTCACTTCGATTTTCCACGCTGTACTATAAAAGGTGTGCGCGTGACATGCGACGCGCATTGGGTGGGAAGGGGAGGAGACTGCCGAGACAGCTGGATGCCTCAAAATAAGAACCCAGAGGTTACATAAATACTGTGCGTGCATTTGCTGGACAATGCTTCCGTGAATTATTTTGGAAAACCTGCAGAACACCCGAACGCTGTAAACGGAGACGGCACAGTGCGCATTTGAATCTCTGCGTTTGTCCGTCAGACGCGTTAATAAATCACTGTCCCAACAGTGGCACTTCCCCATCCAGCCTTGCTGGCCATGAACTTATGGTCTTGCTGAAAGGCTGGCATGCTATCAAAGTTACAAATTATTGTCGTCGAAACAGGAGGGGTAAACTGATCATTTACGTTTTATATATACAATGAAAATGGGGTGGCAGGGGGGGGAGTGGTGGCACAGTGGTTAGCGCACTGCACTATGAGCCCTGCAACCTGAGTTCAATTCCTGACCATGGCTAACGTTAGTGGCGAGTGATATCCACACCAGTCCCGGGCTTCCCCGCCCATTCACCAATCCACACTTTGCAGCGCAGTCAAGTATGGTCAAGCTACTCCCATAACTGAAATGGAATAAGGGAGGCATTCATCCAGCAAGGACTGACAAAGGGCTGTAGCATATTATTACAAACCACAACTAAAATAGCCAACAAACCAGTGGGCCAGCACTGTAAGTTGTTTTGATTCCCATTTTAAATCTTGCGCAATCATAGCAAGCCAGCGTTAGCGATGACAACAACGTTCGCCAGAGACCAGCATCGACCCGCTCGCTGGGCCAATGCCTGGCCGATGCACAGGGGGAGCGCACACTTGTTATGCTGACGCGCACCCCGAGGCCTGTTCGTGTTAAACAGTGAACTCATAGCGGGCAGCCGCAAACATTTGCACAAACGCACGCTTTGCAATTCCGAGTGACTCCGTGTTCCTCCAACGCAACGCGCTCTGCCTGTCCCACCAAAAAGAACGAGGTACCCAGCGTCGCAAATGCTAAGGCCTAAGCGCTGCGCGCCGCTAAGTCGCGCTGCCGAAAGTTAATTGTGATGAGTAGATAAGTTTAGTGCGCATCTGGGCTGATTGCTCATGACTGAATCACCTGCAATGCGCCCAATTCCACTGAGATGTTGCAAGCTAAGCAGCATTGTGGCCTGCGCGGTACGTGGATTCACGACCATTGCACAAATATATGCTGTAATAAGCCGCGCAGCTACATGGTAGGGCAAAATCCACCGTTGTACTATACAATCGTCCCTGCTTCAACCAAACCACACTGACTGGCGTGGTGCAGTGTGGTCATATAAACACCGATTATTCGTATGGCGTGGGAAAACGACGCAGATGTGGGAAGACCATCATCCAGCCGTGGATTTACAAGAGGGCAGAACGTGTACACTTAGCTGATTAATGTTGAATGACACGGCTGGCATAAGTGAGCTAAACGGTCTACTGCCTCAAATAATGACCATGAACCAATGTAAAAATAAAGTTACGGCAAATACAACGTACGCAATTACATCTGATGTACAAATACAAGTTAAACGTGCCAGCGCCCCCCACCCCACCCCGCCCCCACCGAAGCCCTGCGAGCCAGATGAATGCCGGACCACGTGACGATGTCTGGCCGTGCGTGCAACCCGTGCCAAGCCAACGCTGTAAAAATAGCCTCACATTTTCCCAGGGCAGGGCGGCACGGCAACGTTACACAGCCACGATGGTGTCTTGTGGCGCACGTGGCGCACGTTCGAGACCTCGAGACCTTCAGCCTCACCGCCCTGTCGACGGTGTACGCAGCGGAGGGTCAAAGGTCGCTCGCTCCTGAGTCACCTTCCGCCCGCACGCGAGCTACCTAAACGAACAGCCTTGCTCCCTCGCCTTCAGGCTTTATGATTAACAGCAACTTGGCCACCTTCAATCAAAACTATACTAAAAACCAAAGTATTTTTCATTTTACCAGGTAAGATCCACTGAGTTATACAGCTCTTTTTCAGAAGCGACCTGGCCAAAAAATGATAGCAGTAAAAAAATGCATGCCGATTCGAAAATGAGGGGAAAAAAACGGAGGACCCGGAGAAAAATCCACGCGACCACGTAGAGACACGCAAACTCCAAATATACAGGCGTCAGAGTGAGGATCGAACCCACGACCTCCTGTATAACAGGCAAGGTAGATAACAACTCGTATTCAGGATAAGGACGCTAAAGGTGCAACCCTGCAATCGATTTGCTCACGGAAGTGCTGGCGAAAGGGCCTCCGGTAGAAAGAGCTCTGTAGACCCCCATCTCAACCCCCCTCAAGAAGGTATTTGTGCCATTCTTCGATGTTGGCCGGATGTGTACCCACACTTTCTCGCATCGCACACGACCTGCCGATCGACAGCAGACGTACCCACACTTATATTGCTCGGTGGACAGAGGCAAAGGGATTTTAAAAACTTTATCCATTTTTTTCAATTGCCACCCCAGGAGATGGAATATGAACTGGCGAACCTCTGCGCTGCAAGTTCAGCATGCTGGCCTTCGGCAGCAACCCCCATTTAGGATACACACTTTCAATAAATGAAAGGATAATTATTAGCTCTGGTTAATGCTGCCTTTGAAAACATGGGCGTGGCCAAGATAAGATTTAACAAGGGCACTGTGCCCAGGTGTGCGGCCTACCGAGGGCTTTGCTGTGCAAAACGTGCGATATTTACGACGCCAGCGGAAGTCCCTGCTGCATTTTTCGTTGCGTGCACATCAAGGCTCACGCTCCGAGGATGACCGAGGCAGTGTCAATCCCAGAGACACCACGAGGCAAAGCAAAGCAAGAGCATAACGTTTAAATGTTGGGATTACGCTGGGTAAAACTAGACATGCTCGCGTGACTCCAGCAGCACAAGCGTTGTCCCATCTGAACTCATTTCGGGGAACAACCAACAGCGGGGCATCTCCAGGCCCCAGTGACAAGAAGCTCCAGTGTCACAAATCTGCCGGGGCCAAACAATGCCACGATTGTGCCATCACGATCCCCCCCCTATCCGTTTTGTGCCACAAAACAACGCCCATTGTGCCGCGGCGTCCAGCAGAGGGCATCTGCAGGCACCGTTGGCCGCCTGCCTTATGAACATGCCCCAACCGCAGAACAGCCGTGGCCAAATTATGCGGCGGAACATTTCCCCCCCCCAACTACCACCGCCCCCCTCCCCTACAATCATCGGCTGAGTGAGTTGCAAATACCCGGAAGACTTTCTTGTTCCAAGCGCAGAAAGTTGGCGGCCGCCGTGTTTTCCTCTCTCCCTCAGTCCTGACCCAAGGATTGAAAACCACGATCACTGCCGAGCGAGCCCCTTGGGTTGCTACGTGGCAAGGGCACCTCGTGCCCAAAATCTAACAAGTCACCAAAATGACCTACAAGGTTCATAGTGCATGAAATGCCCTATGAACCCGTATAACTGATTTCGATTACCGGCCATGGCTAATAACACGTCGGTGGCGAGTGAAACCTGAACCGGTTGGGGCCCCCGTCCAATCCCCCCTCCCCCCCCTCTCCCCGCACTAAGCCACCCCTTCACCAACCAGCTTCAACAAGCATTGCAAGGTATGGTAAAACAACCATCAATAACAACAGATGTGGAGAGGCCTTCATCCAGCAGGGCATTAATAACGAGCTGTACAATTATTACTGCTATTCACTAAGAGGTACGTTTGGACAGCAGTAGGATGACCATGCTCTGCAATGGATCACTTACCAAGAGGACACTGGGCCCTATTCCCAAGCTGATGAATGTTCCATCAATCGTTGGCAAAAAAAAAAACGTACCAACGTCTCCATCTCCTAAAGTAGAGTGAATCGCAAGGGCAATGTCTCTGCCGTCTAATCAAGATTTGAATCTGGCCCAAAACTCAAAAGTAATTCACTTACCTTGAACATAATTTACCAGTAAATAGGACCTCGTGGGAATATGCTTAATGCATCTCTGTGCCGTAAGAGCAGTGATATCAGTAAATAATATATTATTTTTATTTCGTGATATCAGTGACTGTAGCGCCGGGAGCAACAGTGCACTGATTCAAGCACCGCACAACGCGGCGGTGATCTGGGTTCGATTCCCAGCCATTGTTAACATCGGCGGTGATATCTGAACCAGCCCTGGGTCATCCATTGCCCGACACAGCCTTGTGTGAGTGCCCGGTGCAATGTGTAACGATCAGCACTGGGAAGACAAACTCTGTGAGGCGTGGTGCTGGCCACGCTGCAACTTTCGTGTACCACGCCGACCTTAATAGGCGTTGAGGCTCTACGGGGGAGGGGGGGGCATCTAAATGCACGTGAGAGGAAGCGAGTAAGGGGTAGGTGTTGGGACAACGAGGGGTTAGTAGAATCTCACCGACAAACTGCGGCAAGGCTATGCGTGCCCGGATGTCCCAGACTCGCCTGGCAGGGTGGACAGACGCTTCGCAAGCACATGCAGAGAATAGACAGCACAGGCGTTAGCGATGTACAGCAACACAGCAGGCAAAGGAGGGGGGGGGGGGGGGTTCGCAGGTGTTAGTGCGTTGCAAATGAGCGCCGGGAAAAGATAACAGCGCCGTTCGTAAAACACAAGCTCAAATTTTTTTCGCGTGTTTTTTACGATCGAAAAAATGTCCGATGACTGTGACCGAATCGTCCGAAACAAGCACCCTTCTCATCGGATATTGGAAGCTGAGTAGAGTGCAGCTTGCTCATGGCCGGTGACAATCATCTTTTTCCAGACAGGCGCGGGGGATTGAAGCAGTGCTGCGTTGTTACCCCCTCGTACGCGTGCCGAGTGTTCACCGGGTACAGTACTCCGGTTTCCTACCACGCGACGCCAAACGCTCATCAATAGTAAATTAAAATTAAAAAAACGTTTCAAATGCGGCCAAGTGGCTCAGCGGTAGAGTGAGCGGCTCGCAATCTGAAGGGTTGCGAGTTCAACTCCTGGTTTGGGTTTCACTCGTCTCATCATCCCTCCAGGGTCGACAAAACGGGTCACCACTTTGTGAGGAAGTCAACAGTGGTTGTCCAATGGATAGACTCGCAAGAATAGTAAAATTTCCATCGCCGCTGGCTCAGGGGTACGAAGAAGATAATGAGCACTGCTTCAATGCTCATTTGAGCAAATACATTACTTTGGCTTGAAATCAATAGAACATAGCCAAACATCCCAATGCAGGGCCCTCTTGAAAGTGTATTGAGACTCGGGTGAGATTTACTAGGGCAATTTATTGATACGATTATTATAACATTTTGTTTGAAGGTCAGTCGGTAAAAACTCAAACTTAAACCTCGTGTTTATTACAAGCTATGAAAATGTAACATTGCTGCTTTACATCTTCCTGCGTACAACTGACGATAAAATCGAGAGGGGGGGGGGAATTGTAGAGCAACTTTGAGCAATAGTGTTGCAATGTAGAGCACGTGCTTTCGTACAACAGTGAGTGAATCACGTGCTCGTTTTGTTTGCTTTTCATGGCATCCAAAGTCCAAGTCAAACTGCAAGCGGTTACTACTCAGGAATCTTTAACCACAACTAAAGAAGAATGTCAATACATCTGTCTACACCCTGTGGCTTCAAAATAGGCCCCTTTGGATTATATTTGGACATTCAAGTCTCAGGAAATTGCTTGGCCAGGGAAAACTTTCTGCAGAAAAGCAGCTATGCAAGAGGGAAAAAGGGCAGGTTAGCGTGTTTCTCAAAATTGGCTCCAAATGCGGAGGGGGGGGGGGATCACAGAGGGATTTAAGACACATTTCAATGAGGCAAGCTAAAAATACAAAAGAACACAATGTCCTTAAACATGCAGCCCAGGAGGTTGCCTGGCATTACAGTTAATTTATCATCGCACATTTCTCACAAATTATTTTTTTAAACATCAATAAATTAAGATAAACTAACCATCATCAGACACGCAAGGGTTAATCTTTATACAAACCAAGGACAAGGAATAAAACTGGTTCAACAAATGCATTTGTTCAAAACACAACACAAACCACAAACGTTAGTCCCGTGAAAAACTAGCAAGGGGCTGTCAAGAGGCTTAGCATTCGCCAACACATTTCACCCATCCAGAGAGGCAAAAAAAACATCCCGAGAGCCCAAAAGCACCACCGCGAACACCTCCGCAAGGCAGCGGCGGCGGTGGCTCATCGCGAGCACGACGCGCAGCGCCGACGCGGCCAAACGTACCGTCGGAGACCTTGCTGGCCGCGCTCTGGTTGCTGCCGACGGACGAGCTGCTGGCGCTGCGAGGACGGGCGGCGGCGGCGGCGGCGGAAGTCGCGGGCGGAGGTCGCGAACCCGCGGCCGACGAGCGGAGCGGCCGCGAGGGGCCGGACTGCTGCGGGCCGGGCACCCGAGCCGGAGCCGGCGCGGACGACGGCCGGGAAGCGCCCCACGGTGGCGGCGGCGGCGCCGTGGGGGTCGGCAGGCACCGAGCGGACGTCGATTTTGCCGGCGCCGGAAGCAAGGAGGTGGGTCTCGCCCGAGGAGGTCTGCCGGCGTTCGCGGCCGTGCCGGGCTGCGCCGGGGTCCTGCTTGGTCCTGCCGAGGCACACGCCGAGGGTGTGTGTGTGTGGGGGGGGTGGCTTTGCGTCGATTGACATCGCCGGGAGCCGCGTTGCAAGTGGCGTCGCCGCAGAGACGCGCTCGGCGGTGGCGGTGGAAGCGGTAGAGGAATAAATAAATAAATGAACGAGCAGACCGAAGTAGGCAGAGTGTGGGCAAACAGTTGGAAGGGCTCTGTAAACAAACGCTCAACCAGGGATTGCGTTGCTCTTCTGGCCCGGCTGCTGTTACAAACAAGGGGGAGAAACAGCTGCGATGATTATCCAACTGTCCCGTGCAGTGTGCGTTGTTGACACGGTGGCAGCCGAAGAATTGGTCGCTTTCGCACAAACGAACGCATATTTCTTGGATCAATTCCAGCCGAGCTCCGGACGTTTTCGTATTTACAACCAAAGTAGCCGAGCGGAGGGAAACGATACGGACGTCAACGCAGCAGTCAATGAAAACCAGCCTCACCTAACAGTGCACCGGCAAAATCGGCCAGTCAGTAGAGTGACGATGCCATGGGTTTTACAGTAAAATGGGGATGTAAGTGGCCCGCTTCTGGAACAAATGACCAATCAATCAAATCCTTTGCTTGTGACCAAGCTAGAGCCTTCATATTTATAACATAAAGAGATATCCCAATTGCGTTGCATTGTACAATGACATTTTCTATTATAAAACACGAAGTCAGGGCGAGGTGTATTTGTTAACAGACAAAAATTAATCAGCGTAATGCGCTTAAGACTTCTTACACAAACCTCACCGACGGCAAGCGGCGATCAATTCGATATCTCTACGCAGATCGGAGGAGAATTAACGAACGTGGCGATTCCGCAGATTGCCCCCTTTTACGATGTTTTCGGCAACACCCATGGCTCTCAGCACAAGAAATACTTCACGATGTTTTCCGAACGGCTGCAGAGACTCACACCGCCCGCCCCCCACCCCATCAACATCCCCACCTGTGCGAACCGGAAAGGGTGGCGCACGTGGGGGGTCGAGATGCAGAAAAAAAATTGCATCGCGCCTCGGGCCTTGCTGGCCGAACTCCTCCGGCCCACGCCCTAGCGTCAGCGTGCTGCGGTGCTGTTCTTAGCAAAGTGGAGCTTGGGGCCCACGACCGCCCGGGGGCTTCAAAAAAAAAGCCCCTGGAAATCCACGAACGCCACAAATAGCTCCGTCCGTTCGCTTGTCGGTCGGTGTCGGTGGGGTCTCGTCGTCCAAGAGCAAGTCTGACGCTGCCGCCGCATTCCACGTAAAGCGACCGACATGGGCGGCGTTACTTTTTTTTACCGTCGTCAAAAATATAAAGGCAATGGGAAAGCCGATCTAGAAATGCAACAAAAAAAAACGCGGGATTCCTAAACGCGTGAATGTATTATAGTCTTACGCGAATCAAAACGCTCGGTAACTCGGCGCCGGGCGCGAGTGGAAGCCGAAGCAATCGCCGCAAGGGCCCCCGGCACGGCGCGGAGACAGTGCGCACTGACTGCAAGGCATCTGCTTATCGGATTTTTTTTTTGACGAACATCGCCACTGACAGGCCAATGCCATCACGGAGTCCTTCGGCAATCTCCGCCGCGCTAATGCAGTTTAACTCCTCCCGCCCCGAGCATGGCGAAACCGTAATGGCTGAACAGCAACCTGTCTCCCTCTAACTCTCCGCTGCTGTTTTATTTTAACTGATCCGTTACACGCGTGACATTTCCGTCAACGCGCAATATTAAACAATGGCGTTGCCATACGGCGTAGGAGTTCGCATGCTGGACTTGCAATCCGGAGTTACTGGATTGCACTCGTAGATATTGCTTTCGTATAACCCGACTATTGTGAAGTAAAGTGTGGGTAACTCCTCATCTATTGAAAAATACTGTACTGTACCCAAACAGAATGAAACAGGAGGCTCTGTCATCCTATTGTGGAATGATCACTCTTGTGTCCAGGATGACTCATGCACAGGGAGATGATTAAAACGAATTTCTTTAGAGCTGCTTTCGGTGTTTAGTGTGTTGTCCTTCCCCCACACCCCCGCCAGGTGGCTACGTACGGTGCGAAAAAAGTTCAACATACGTACAATTTAGACCACTGAGATCGAAGCTTACAGCCCGACGATCCCCAATTTAATATTTCCTGAAGAGTCCCCAAGCACGTGGAGCAAAACGTCGGACATCGTGCCGAACAACGCCGTGGTCCAACCCCCCAGAAACGTCAACGAGAGCTATGTCAGAACCTGTTTTTAATTCCACGGGCCAAGGAATTTCTGTCCTCTGGATTTTACAACTACTTAATTTACAGCCACAACTTTAGGCGTCAGCTGCTTTCCAATTCATTCTGCCGGTGGCTGTGTGTGTCACGGGCCACAGAGTCTCGGGCTGTGCGTGACCACATCTGTTCCTGCTTCACACTGACGCTAATCAGTTATTGCAACTAGCGCTTCTCATTATGTGCCACAAACAGTTGCTCTCAGGAACATATTGTAACAGTCTTACTTTTTTTCTCTCACATTAATACACACGCACTACCTTGTGACATTATGAGACCTCCTTTGCCAGTAACGAGATACAGTAATAGGTTTTTACCCTTTTAGCTGGCACAAAAACTGACACCTTTATACAAGGGATCATGTTTGCAATAGCCACAACACAAGCAGTCAAAAATGCAAGCAAAAAGAAACAACACTGATAATGATATGCACTGTCCTTGAATTTGATTGGTCCACACCCGAGACGGCTTTTCTTAGAGCCTAGTCTCCACTGGTGTTGGACCAGATGACACCATAAGGCGTACAACTCAAAAACAGCGCACTATCAGAGTATTGCGAGCTCGGGGTAAGCCTTTACATTATGAGACCTCCTTTGCCAGTAATAAAGCCGTCTCGGGTGTGGACCAATCAAATTCAAGGACAGTGCATATCATTATCAGAGTTGTTTCTTTTTGTTTGCATTTTTGACTGGTTATTGCAAACATGATCCCTTGTATAAAGGTGTCAGTTTCTGTGCCAGCTAAAAGGGTAAAAACCTATTACTATACCTGGTGACAGGTAAGCACACTTAATTATTATTTTCAATTTTTCCAAAAATGTACCTCACCTACTGTACACTGCACAGCAATACAAAGATCGGATTTGTAAACAGTGCACTTACAAAGAGAGTCGTGTAATCAAATATAAATAGGTTATCCTCTTGTCAAAGCATCGACGATTTTATGTTCACAGCAATGCTAGCCACACCATCATCATTCTGAACTCCATCAAACGATAATCTCTTCAACAATTGTGTCATAACACGTGCAACACATTCATGGAAATTAACAAAAATACCAGTGATAATTAAAACTCAAGCTGTGCTCAAAACTCCTTGAAACACGCATTGAATTCACTAACAAGGCCTCGACCACAAGAACGCGAAATCTAGACCATCGGCACTTTGAAATTTGCAACAACAAAAAAACACATTTACTTTCACACATCATGACACCATTTAACACATTCGAGGAACCGTCCAAGAAATTCAGCAATATGCGACACATAAAGCGGTGCTCGTGAAACTTCTTAAACACCCATGATGAAGGAGGGGGGGGGAGGGGGGCGTTTTTTGGGCCAGATCGCATAAATATAAATTGGCTGGGAAAGCCTACGTGTCAAACTTCTCAAACGTCCTTCAAACGCCCTCTCACCTGCTTCCGCGGGCCTCGCGCTCCCCACCGCCGCGCCTCCGAGGTTGGAGGTCATCGGGAGCTCATTCTGTTTCGGCCTGGCTGCGGGCGGAGAGAGCCCGGCCCTCGCCTGAGCCTGAGTACGCGAGGCCTGGCGCGCCGACCCGGGCCCAGCGCGCGGCCCCGGCTCTGGGCGGTGCGCGAGCGGAGGCCGTGCCGGGGGTGCCGCCGCGGCCGACGAGCTGGAGGCTAAACTTTTTTTGCTGTTCTCAGCGGACCTGCTGGTTTCGCTCGCGCTCTGAAGATGATGGGGATGCGGCAGAGGGAGGGGTTGGGGGGAAGGAAAAAAAAAGCAGCATTAATATTTAATTGTGAAATCCTCGCTGAATTACAGTAGATACGTACTGTACGTGCTTTGAAACTGCTGAACCCATCACGGGACTTGCATGCGTCCTCGGTGGGATGTGCTTTATTGTTTTGCTGTTAGGGGTTGCCACCTACGAGGTAGAACAAAATAACCAGGAGATGTTATGGGAAGAATAATATCTCACGATTCGGAAGAGGGGAGGAGCTGCATGTAAATGCATTGTCACGAGTGAAAGTGTACGTATATTATCACGGTAAATTACTAAAAACTGGATCTTCTACTGTTCAGGAAAGACCAAAACTTCCCAGGACAGTTACCTTAAAAGGTGATGATCCTGGGAAAACCAGGACAGGTGACAATGCTATTTAACTGAGGTTATTTGGCCATTTTCATATTCTTATCATTTTAATGTAACCTATTGCATGTGCTGTACAGAAGACACAAAATAAATTCATTTTTTTAATATAAATATGTAGGGTACATACATGAATGTATCCGAACACATGCATACATGAATGCATGCACACATCTATAATACATTTAATGTGTCTATTTATAAGTCGTAGCAAGTACTTGGGTGATTATGGTCATACGGAGCCATATAAGGACTCATTCTGACCAGAAGAAACCAAGAAACCATGGTATTAATGTGACCTTCCTTTTACCTCGGCCAAAATAGAAGATAAATGGAAAAAAACACAACCCTACAATAAAAATGCATGCCATCTGCTTCACAGTGGACGTTAACAATAACATCGTCCCTAGAGGAGGAGGCCACCAAGTGCCAGCGTCGTGGCACAAATTTGCCAAATTTGAAAAAGTATCCACAATTGGAATCTGCACAGCAATCATTGGCCCCTACTTGAAAAATAACTTGGCAGGACCCTGAAACTCAGCGAGGCTTTCCCGGGCAGACAAGCATATTGGAACACTCCTATCGTGTTTTTGTACTGTGGAGGGGAAAAACCGGAGAACCCGGAGAAAACTCCACGCGACCACAGGTAGAGAGAAATGCAAACTCCAAATATACAGCAGGTGTCAGGGTTTGGATCGATTTCCTTCCCCCGCACCTCCAGTTCGCATGGTTGGCTACATACGGTGCGAAAGAAGTTTAACATACATACACACGTACACGACCTCCTGCATACCAGCCGAGGTCGTTAACATCTGGCCACCGTGGCGCCCATCGATACGTTACCAACCTCGCCGCGTTCCGTACGCGGCCACGCTCCCGAACGTACCTCCATTGAGTTGAAGCTCGCCTCCGACGTCTGCTCGGCCATGCTGCTGTCGGCCTTCACCGAGATGCTCGCCGACAGCCTGACCCCCGACGACGCCCTCCGCAGCCCGGGGATGCGGGAGACGAAGCTGAGCGTGCGCACCGCCCTCGCGTGCGAGCCGCCGCCCGTCGGCGCGGTAAACGGCCGCCCGGCGCCTCCTCGCTGGGCGACCGGAGGCACCGCGTCCGTCGGCCTCGGCGGCTTGCCGTTGGCGGTGGTCACCTTCGGTGGGCCGCGCGGCGCAGGGGAGTTGAGCGAAGCCGGGGAGCTCGGAGAGCAGTCGGCGAACGACGGGGAGCGCGTCACCTTCGGCTCCACGACCGACGCCGATCGTTTGAGCGGACGGGGCGAATGCGCGGCCTGGCCGTCTACCTTCGTTTTCACGTTCTTCGGGCTTGGTCTCGCGATCAGTCGAGCCATCGATCTCCTCGGCGTTTTTTTAATCGGCGAGCTGGTTTTACTGTCCACCTTGTTGGTGTTCAAAGCAGCTTGGATCGCGTTTGACCGCTCCGTTTGAATTTCCCCGTTCTCCGATTCCACTTCGAGTCCAACTTCTGTCAAAAACACCGGCTCGGACGTGGTCATATCTTCCATTGGAGCTTCCATGCGCAAGGAAGGAAACATATTTCTATCAAATGACATTATATCCAAAAATCCTTGTCGTGTAAGAATACCATCGTACACTTCTAAGCTACCACTTGAGTTTAAGTCGCTAGTGACAGCAACCAACTGATCCTCAATGCGAGTCTCACTCTCCACGCGATGCTCACATCGCACAAGCGCCGGGGGACTCCCTACCTCCGGCAGAACGTTTCCAGCTTGAGGCATTTTCAGTCTGAGCTTTGGAAATGCCAGCGACGCCACCTCGCCTTCGGCGAGACGCGCCAGACCCACCGCGCCCTCCGTCTCGCCTGCGAGCGCCCCCGAGGTGGACGTCCCGCCCGTCCGCTGGACGTCAGGCTCGGCGTCCCTGCTAGATTTCATCCTCGGCTCCGCCGCCGAATGGTCAAACTCTGACGAGCTGCTGATCTCACTCACGGAGGTCTCCACGCAGTCCGTGGAGCTGCCGCACAGGTAGTCTCGAGCGAGAAAAACATCCGACGAATCGTAAGTGTCCAGTGTAGTGTTCTCAGCCGACACGCTTTCCTTGTCGTTATGAATGTTATCGCCAGTGCTCTGATCTGCAGGATTTCTATTTTCTGCAGCGCCCAAAACTTCACGATCTAAGCCTGGCAGTGAGTCCACGTTTCCATCGTTTTCAGGCGTTGCTTTGGTATCACTTCGAGCGGTGAACGCCGGGCTGGTATTTTTGGTCTCGTTAAGGCGTTCCATCGATTCGTGCTCCAATGTGGCCCAGTCTGGCACAAAGGCTGCCTCGGACTTTTGTTCGTACAAACTGTCCACGGCATGGTTCGCCCTCCGTTCCTCTCCCACTGCAACTTGCTCAACATCTTCGCTCGCGACAACGCCTACAAGTTTACCAAAAGGATTGCCAGCGGTCGTCTCAGTTAAAACTTTACGAGTGATCATCTTAGTTTCGTGATCCAGAAATGAAGACGCATTTAACAAAACGCCTTCGGGCTCCAACATCAGCAAGTCTTCGGCACGTGATGGTTTTGCTTCTGAACAATCGTCTTTACTTTTGCACAGAATGCCCGACTCGTATTTTTCTGGCTCGGATGAACTCCCCAGAACATCTTCATCAACAACAACTCCACCTTGAGAGTGATTAATTGATGAAAAGCCTTCGTCGCATTCATCCGAAGAAATTTGCCAGTGTCCCTGAGGCTGCCCCGCCAGGCGTCCTGTGCCTGAGCCTCCTACAGATAGCACCAAATATTCTTGGTGGAAAACACCGGGGACTCTTATCTGCCTTGAACTACTCTGGCTTACACTGTGTGCCTCGGTCGTATCCATGCAGTCGGATGAGACGGGGTCGCTGTCAGAAACGAGGTGGCTTTGTTTGCATCGTCTCCCTGTCTCCACAAAGGCAGACGTCTCTTGGGAGTCGTTTAAAATGTCGGTCGACCAAGTGGCATCATCTGCAGCCGTCGTGAGGTTTGGTCCAGTTGTCGAAACATCCGAAGAATGCCCCAGCTCCAGCCTCGCACGCTTCCTCTGTTCGTCGTTATCAACGGGCAGCTCATCAAAGTCTACGTTCCACTGGTTGTCAAGCTCAGAGCTTTCTCCTTTGCACGACAGAGCCTGACTTGGACACTGGTCGTAATCAACGCTGGCAGTGACGTACGTCGAGAATTCCTCGTCCACGTGGCATCCCCTGCTGTCGGCGCACGCGGAATTACAGCCAGGCTGAGCGCCTCCCGGCTCCTCTTCCAGCCGACCACCCTGACCTCCAAACACAAAACTCGACTCATCAGCCTGCTGGCTGCTCACCTTCGCATTCGCACACTCGTACGCTCTCCCAATGTTCACGTCCATGGCCATACCTCCTTCAACCTGGTTCGTAAAACGCGCGGGCGGTCCGTCCGCACGGGCCTCCCGTTCCCCTCCGGTGCACGCTTCCACGCGTCCCACTCCTCCGTGGACGGCGACGCTGTTGGCGTTCAGATCGCCGAGCGCCGGTGCTGCCTTGCGGGCGAAGTCGGTCGAAATCCACACGTTGCGTCCGGGGGTCCCCGCGCCGTGGTCCCTGACGCCGCGCTGTGGGTTCGAGTTGCGCGACGTGTCCAGGCATCGTTGCGCGAGCACGGCGTCGGACAGAGAGCGTCTATCACCGCCCGAGTTAAGTCCCTCCGCTTGGCTCTTTACGTCCCCTCGCTCGTTCGAGCTGCCTTTTTGTCCATTTCCCAAAGCACTTTCTCCAACCTGCATCATAATTACTGAATGTGTCTTTCGCCTACAAACAACTGGGGCTGACATGGACCGTAACAGTGAAAGGACAAATGGGGGACAGTGGTTGTTCTTTCGGCTGCATTCTCGGAGAGTAATAAAGGACAGTTACCGACGGCAGTTTTAGTTACTGAGTGACAGCTACTTAAGTTACTGAGAGATTGCACTTGCAGACTATGCGTCTACGGTATGTTTACTACATTTGTGAATTTTAAGAGAGCAAATGAAACTACAATTTACCCACACTTATGTAAAACAATCAATTTATTTGGATAAAGCCACCGCGATGCAGTAACGTCTACGAAATGTATCCATTAATTCTGAGGGTGCTTCATTTAGAAAAGTACTTACTTTGCCGTGGTCATGCAAGCAATCGCGTGGCTTCTCAGCTTAACAGAACCTTAACCATCGCGACACCGTGGAATTGAATCGGTAACTTTGATCCGCACGCGTTGCCTGTAAAACGCAGACGGCTCTCAGGCTTCAGACCCAAGGCGAGGTGAAAGAGCAGCCCCCGAGCGTCTGCGTCGACATGGCTTACTGGCGCCGTCCTAAAGCCTGCCGCGAAAAGCCAAGGGGTGCGTTTCCCGGCGGCTTCGCCTTCTTCCTTGTCAATCTATCTGGACGCACGCCTCATATGCGCGGAGATGGCCGCCAGCGATCCCCTCTTTTGAATTTTTCGGGTGAAGAATTCAGTTCCGATTCTTGAACCTGAAAGCGCAAAATGTTCAGACGAGACATTAGGTAGAGCGGCACCACACGTCAGGTCGGGCATTTCGCATTGTAAACTATTCCAGAGGTAAAACACGTTAAAATCCATTAAGCATCCTTTGGGAATTAGTCAGTGCAATACATGTACTGCATAATTTATCAAATGCACAGTTCGATAACGTATTCAGATACCTCCGCTTATTCACGAGAATATTGGGTACACCGGGCTTATATTTTAATGAGATTTTTAAACTACTGTACAATAACGGAATTATTTTATGTCATTGTCTAACAGCCTCATTTATTACAACTTATTTAATTTGTTATTTATGGTGTGCCCCGACTTGTTGCCATGAGAGTTTCATATTACCAGCTGGGCTCACTTTGTGCACCCACCAACTATTACAATATATTGTTTTGCTTTCCTGTGACTTAAACCAAACTAAAAACTAAACTAATTTTTATTTTATTTTACCGGGTAATGCACACTGAGCTATACAGCTCTTTTTTGTAAGCGACCTGGCCACAAATGATAGCTCAACCAAGTGGCTTAGCACGTCGAAATGTATAACAGCCAAATAATCTAAACGCATGTTGATTCTACATGTGGAGGGGGAAACCGGAGGACCCAGAGTCGGAGTCGAACCCACGAAACCTCCTGTATACCAGGCGAGGTAGTTAACATCTCCTAGCCACCGTGGCGCCCTTTCGCCAAGAGGTTTTGCATACGTACGGCGTGCACCCAACGCTCCGAGCGAGCGCGACCGCCTTTAGAAAGCGACAAGGAGAACTGGCACGCGCGTAAACGAGACGCCCCGGCAAAGTCAAAGGTCGCGCTGCCGGCCGAGCCTGACGTGCACAACGGTCGGCCCTGCAAACAATCCGGCCGGTGCGTGAGAAGGGAACGGCCCATCCACCCTTACCGCACCTCGCCCCTCGGCAGTCACACAATCAGTGCTCCTACACACTGAGTGGTGGCGGCTCCTGATAAGGAGACTTATCTCTGCCCCACTAATCTCATAATTCCTATAAACTAATGACACGGGGTCTGACACAGACACTGACACACATTGTATAAAGAATCCTCTTGCAGCAGTGGACACAGGCCAGATTGTAAACTAAAAACTCTAAACTATTTTCATTTTGCCAGGTTAGAAGATACCTGGCCACAAATGATAGCTCAACGAAGCGGCTTATCGCGTGGAAATTTATAGGAGCCATGTTCCTAAATGCGAAGGGGGAAAACTGAAGGACCCGGAGAAAAATCCATGCGACCACAGGGAGAACACACAAACTCTAAAAATACAGGCGTCAGCGTTTGGGATCGGACCCACGGCCTCCTGTATACCAGGCGAGGAAAATAACATCTAGCAGATAACATTTCGCCACTGAGATGTAAAACGAAGGCGGTGTCTCAACAGACCCGGAGTTCTGCTTATACCTGCACTGTATTTCATTTGCACGTCACCCTCCATGGCAACGCATAATGCGTTTGCGTGCGGTATTTGCTTTTTGCGTTGATTGGGGTCGCATATTTTACGGAAAGTGTTCTCGCCAATAACATCCAGTAATCCACGAGCATTTGTTGAATACGTCTGACTGCTGATGAGACCCAGAAGATCGAAACCAGTCCAGAATGTGCTTGCTTAAACGAACACTGCTTGATAATATTGGTCTGGAAAGCCAATAAGCTGATGACTGTTTTTTTTGTTTAAGTACAGTACTGTATATTGGAAACATAGACCAGAAGTCTGCTTCTATTTGCGAAGTACAACGAAAATCTGCACTTCTGTTATGTTCATCTAATGCTCATTCCATTTCTGAATACTGTGGGTGAAATTTATGGTCATAAATCCATAACCTATAAAATCAGTAACCATTTCCAGATTCGATTACTGCTCCAAAAGGCAGGAAACGGTAACCGTATCCAATAAGTATTTTAGTAATGAATGTACCAGTTTAAGAAACGTAACTCCCTGTTAACTGCCGTGCCGGGAGATGGAATCGCACTGGCGAACACTCAAGTCCAGCACGCCGACCGTTACCACCACGACATCTTCTTTCGTTTCTCGGTTACAAAGGGTAAAAATGTTACGTTTAACTTACAAAAGTAGGGGGGGGTTTTGTAACCAATCCAACGATCCACATTTATTTTTTTGGGTTGGGCCATGTGGTAGTGTTACACAAATATTCGTGTCATTGACCCTCCATCTCCCGACAAGATTGTCACTACTACAGAGACGTTATTATATACACGATACAAGGCCGATGGGTCGATTCCATTCTGACCAATTAAGCTCAGTGGTGGTTAAAGACTTTTCATTACTGAATTTAACATCAACGTACAACGTTTTTAACAAACCGCTTTGAGTGAAACGTCATATCATGACGTTATGTGCATTGCCAGATATGTCTTTACATGCGGCAAACCGGTAACGGGAGATTTTTTACCATTCTTGTCATGTGGCTCCTGGTAATTCCAATAAAACATTTTAACAACCCTTGAGAAAACGCTTGTATAAAGTAGCACCATTACCTGAGAGTCAGGAATGCGTCGGGCCTTTCCCGCAGACATCGTTAACTCAAAGAACGCAGCAACGCGTTACACGCTGCTGAACTCAAACAGAGCAGCTGCGCTGAAGCCAACGGAACATCGCAGAGCATTTCGTGACATTGTTTTGCCATCGTGTTCCGGTAAAGCGATAGCATCTCCGAGCCACGTATCTTTCCATCTTTATCACCACGGACCCACGTGAACCGTAGTGGTCTCGGCACGACCGTGCCTTGGCCTCGCCCGTTCACATTTGTCTTGCTCGGAGGCAGCGGAGGTAGCAGTGGTGCTGAATCGTAGATAGTCGCTCAGCGCTGCAGTAAAAGTAGAAAGGTGAAAATATAAAGTTACAGCCCTACAATATTCTGCTCACGTCACTGCTGGCGGAAGGGGCTCCACTCGAGGGAAGCTTTAGAGAGCCCCATAAAAAGTGAGAAAAGCATACATTATTCACGAAAACCTCAGTCTCATTTTCTATAATGCGGCAAAAGATTAGATCATGAAAAATCATGAGAAATGGGTGGCGATCAAAATGTAAAAAAATTAGATTGCTACCCCAAAATGATGCGAAATAAGGATACTGATATACGTACAGTCTATGTTCACAACAGACCATTTCACACGGAGTAATGTGCTCTCATTGACGCGTGCATTCACTTGCTTCTCAAGTACGGTGAATCAACGCCCCATGTTTCAAAGGCAGATTGCTCCCGGCGTTTGTGGCAATTTTCTACAGACGTCCACATACGCCAACCTTTAAGATGCCCGCCTGTACACCGGACCCTCCGGTCCCCCGGCGAGTTCCGACTCTGCGACGATTGCACGGAGCCGCTATAACCCGCACGTGATGCAACCGGCCGGTGAAAATCATGGCACGCGCCCGGCAGTGACCCTTTCACGCCGCATAAACGCGGACGATCGCACGCGCTGGCCGCTTTTACCGCCTGGCAGATTTTACGCCTGCGTCCAGTTTGACGCAGGCGCTGCAAAAGGTCCCTCGCCGCGCGTGTCGTGACAACGCAGGTGGAAATGACCTTCGCGCCGACCTTGCGTTTCGGCCCCGTCAGTGGCCCCTAAGTGCGTCCGCCGTGCGATGTTGCCCACTGCGCTCAACCTAGGCGGCGGTCAAATGCAGCACGGAATATAAACAAGAGAACATATCGTACCACGGTACAGTGCAGTAATTTTTCCAGCCCCTTTTTTTTTGTCGATGCGCCGCTGAATGCCGCTCTCCCGTTCCGTGTCGGCTATGGGGGGCTGTTTGACCGTACTTTGCCGCGCCGGTCGGTGCGGGTCGGTGGAGTGGAGGGCGCAGGGCTCGTTTGAATGTCACTCGTGTAAGCCGTGGCTAGCTCGCCAGGTTCGCGTCGGGCACGTGTGCTCACTGTAACCACTGCAGTCACCGTTCTGTGTTATCGTGACTGTGCATGCGTGTATTCAAAATACAAAGTGTACTGCCCAACAACTCCAAGCGATGTTAATATCCTTTAATTGAGCAACCGGCTGGCAGTGCCGCCACCAGTCTTGCACCGCGATAGCCCAGTAAATGTGCCAACGTTGGGCCAACGTTGGCACGTGGTTGGAACCGTGAGGCCAACGTTGGGTCTAACGACGTTCCGCTTTTACTGGCAATGCGCCTTGGATCCTGAAAACGTGCTTTAGAAAAAAATGCATTAATTTTAATTTCATTAGCCACAGCTGAATTACAATACAGGCTTGCCATTATTAAAACGTACGAGAAAAAAAAAGCAACATTCTGCAACAACATGCCCTCCGTAACGTACACATGTACTGTATTTCGCAGCGCTCCATCATTCGTTGGGCAAAGCTTCCTTTCAAACACGCACGGGCGGCTCTTTGCTTTGGCATCTCTGAAATTACGTCCGCGCGCCGCATACCTCCGTGGTAAAAAAACAACAGCCCCAAGTCGTGCACCGTTGTGCCGCTCACCGGCCTCCTCCCCCACGCCCTCGTCAAGACGATGTGGCTCATAACACAGCGTGCGTTCGCTCGTGCCCCCCCCCACCGCGCTCCACCAGCCATCTGCCCAACAGGCTCCCAAGTGGCCCACAGTGGTGAGAGGCTGGAGATTTTTTTTTTAGTTTTTCTCCATCACTGTATTTTTCTCCATCACCGCCGTGATGCAACGCGTTTTCAGCACACGCTGCGGAGGCTCGCGATCCAAAGGTCACCGTTGCGATTCGACCCCCGCCCGTTTGCGTTTTACATTCGGTCTCCCGAAGAGAGAGGGGCGGTTTATGATGTCCGCGCCCGGTAAACCGTGGAACGTTGGGGGGGTCAACGTTTGGCACCGGCGGCTCCTACCACGTGCCGACAACGTTACACGTTTACTGGGCCTGCCTCCGTCCACCCAGCAGCATGAGTACACGGCAGTTAGATGAGTGGACGGTCGCTTGTGGCGGGCGGAGTAAAGTGTGGGGTCACTGCCCCCTGTTCCAAGACTCGTGGCCAACGTGAAAGAGTAGGCCAAATACTACCTAAAGGGGGCTCTCGTGAACCCCCACTTCTCGCGGAGGCCCTTCCGCCAGTGGTGGCGTGAGGCGAGAAATTTAAGGGCTGCGCCTTTTTTTACTCTGACGCTATTTCATTGCAGAAGTCCGTGCTTTACCGCACGAGTGGGCAAGCCCGTTCTTCTGAGCCGGGTGACACGTGACACGCATGACGCTCACGTGACCGCTGTCACACGTTCTCTACTCGCTCGCCGGAACCTTCACCATACCAGCCACCGGGTGTATGCAACGTAGTAGGAGGCCTCATTGATATGCAATGGCTCCCTGCACCGCCGCACGCAAACCCACACACCCTTCCCCTAATGGCATGCACCTATCCGTTGGATCACGGCGTTTCTGATACGGGGCTGCAGGAAAATCGCGTAACGTGCCGGGCTGTTACAGGACGTACCGCATTCCGAACGGGAGCGTGGGTTCATCTCGCGGCACGTAAACCACTGCGCACCACTGGACACCGCCCGATGTCAGTTTCATGAAAAACAAAAGCTGAAAAGTGCACGCGGAATCATTTGGAGGGGAACATGCATGGAATTAGGCCGAGAGAGTGGGGAAGAAAAGAACACGTCGATCGGAGAATGCATGCAACTTAGAGGCGTCGTGTTGACCGCTGGGGACACGTCACTTAGAGGGGACTTTGGCCGGTGGTCACGATCGAATGAACGGAGTGGCGACCGAAGGAGGAAAACGCACACGAGAGGACATCTGCTGCTTAGGTAGAGGGATGAAATCAGTTCACGTGCAGGTCCTGGGTGGATTATTGCATCGCAGGATCATAGGAGGTGGTTGGCGGCTTGGTGAAGCCTTCATCCAGCAGTGGATTGACCTTAGCTCGCGATAATGATGACTTCAATGCAAATCAATTTCTGCACTGTACAACACGGCTACGGTATACCTTTACGTGAGCTTTATGCGATGTAAAAAAAAGCCATTTGTCAACCTACCGTGCAGGGCAAGTACACATCAATCTCACCACTCATGTTAGGTGTGGTCGGCAAGTGAACTCAAGTCACAGGGTTCACGATCGCAGTGCGCTCAATCGCTGCGCCACCGCTACCCCAAGCTTTCTTATACAGCGCACTAAATACTTATTTTATTCTATTTTTTTCCCCGAGCACAATGATGTTGCTGTTGTGCTTTTTTTTCCTGCAAGCCGTGCGGGTATTGATTATACTGGGGCTACAGTTTCAAGCCGTGCCCCTTCGGTGCGACAGCAACATCCCAACTATGGGAAGGCTCCACTCTCACAGGTCACTTGTGTGGCTGTGTCCGTGTAAAGAGCTCTCTCGGGTTAGCAGGCAGTAACCGCCCCCCCCCCCTCCCATGCCTACATTGACGGTAATAGAACAAAACAAATTGTACCCACCGCACGCACAAAGCCCAATGGTTCTCACCGCACTCTCCGTGTACGCACAAGCAAATGTAGCAGCCCAACGGACCATATCGCTGAGGATGCGCCCGGTCTTCGAAAGAGCTCAGAAGCCTAAAGCGGGTCTGAGATTGGCTGGTGCTTGCACAGGTGAGCACCGTGCACACACAGGTTGTCAGAGGGCCCTGGGGGGCAAGGTGTTGAGAAGTGGCAGGCAGTGCTGCAAAATCCATTATTGTGTAGTGTGGTCCAGATGTCTTGTGAACCCCGATGAATTGATCCCTAAAAGAAATTCCCCTTTGCATATTTTTTAAATAAACATAACATGTGAACCACCCTGCACGGTACTTTACTTGTGTTTTCACGTCTACGCCCCCCACCCCCCACGCCTTCACCAACCCGCGCTGCCCAGCTGATGGGGAGTACTGCGGGGCAAAATAACCACCATGAACCACACGGCATGAACAGGCCCTCGTCCAGCAGTGGCTTGACAAAAGCAGCGGCTGCACACACAAATATGCATTCTACATTTACAGAAGAAGAAAAGAAAAACCCCCCGTTACCCGTGATCAAATATTTAAGTGTGCTCCGGCAAATATTCCACATTTAAAACCCCCGGCCTGTGTGCTCCCGCGGGAATTATTTCGGCCGGGAGAGCAATGGCCTTTGAAATGAAACACCATAACGGCTTCGTCTGTAACCACATTCATCACGGCCTCAGTCCTCAAACCCGATCAGATGTATTTCTCAAAAATTGCAAGGAACGTTTGTGATTACTGTACAATACAATATTGCAGAGATGCTGCCGTGTTCGTTAATGCGCATTGCGCGGGAATTACAACCCGATTCCAGTCTTCGATTGCACGGTAGTTGAAACATGTGGGGCAAGATTTTCAAATCCCACCCCCCCAAATGCCTCTGTCCACCCAGCAAGTATAGGCGTGTACACCACGGCCAATCGATCAGCAGCAGATCGCGTAAGCTGGGGTAAAATGCGGGGAAGCCAACTCTTTTCCGACACGTTCTGGTCATCGTGGAAGAGTAGACCAAAATACCCTTGAGAGTTCACTCTAGCGGAGATCTCAGCAATTGCAGCAGCGTCGTTACAGTGTCCTCTCGTTATTCGCGAGGGATAACGTTCCGGAGATGCTTGTGAATTGCAAATTTCGCGGATATTTATATTGGCCTAATAAAAAAATGTAATACGTAAATAAGCTATTAAATACATGCAAATTATCATAAGACGTATCTTTATCGCATTACTTTCTCTCTCATCACTTTCTCTCGAGATGCAGTTGTGCAGAGTTCCAGATGCGATTCGCGGATAGCCAAACTCGAGGGAATGCTGTATTAATTAGTTACGGTAATTTACAGAGACGCCGTTCAGACCGCCACCACATGCCTGACGAAATGCGGTGGCCTCACCACATAATCGCAGGTGACAGCAAACTGCAGGTTATATCATAACTCTATCTCATCACTTTTATCTCACGACTTTCTCTCTCGATGCAGTCGTGGTAGAGAGCTCCAGGTGCGATTTGCAGATAGCCAAAATCGCGGATCGCCAAAATCGCGGATAGCCAAAATCGCGGATAGCAAAGCTCGTGAATAACGGGGGAATACTGCATCAATTAGTTACGTAAATTTACAAAGACCCCATTAGGACCACCGCCACCACCACATGCCTGACGAAATGCGGGACCCGCGGCATCAGCCACACCGTCATCGCAGGTGCGAGCAAACAAACGCCAGGGGTGCATGGAATTTCGGGTCTTAAATGACATCGAATTGAGCCACGTGTACAAACACAATGCCCGGGCGCTTCGCTTCGTTTACCCGGAGCATTTTCTCCGGCAATCAACGGGCCTGGGCTTCGCTTCGAGACGAGAGCTCAGCCGCACTTTGTCTAAAACCTCAACAACAACAAGAGGACCATTCGCTTGTTAGTTCTAGCCGCACACGTGGACGTTACATTTTGGGTTAGATAACCCAAAAAAAAGCTTGTACTGTGGATGATATTGGTCGCGAAGGCCTCCGTGTGGAATCGAAAACTCGTTTGCTGATAACCGCTTTTTCTGTGTTTAGTTTATTGCCCTTCCGCCGTCACCACAACCTCATATTTGCACCGGTTGGCTGCGTACGGCGCGAAAGAAGTTCAACTTACATACTTACACAAATAAAAATGGGCCAGAGGCTCAAGCCAAAAACAGGGTCCCCATGCCTGAACGTGCACCACTGCTGCTTTTTGGACATTTTCCCTGCATTAGGTGACCGGCCAATTTTAAAGGTGTGAAATCGTTGCTGTTCGTGTTGTACAATGTCCAAATCTCATCCACGGCATCTCCCTGCCCTGTCGGACCCTCTAATGGACGTGCTATGAAGAAGGGTCCATGAAAGCCCAAAAGTTACCTTGTGTTTTCACATGTGCTCTTTGATTAATTCACGAACAAAAATAAGTAAATAAATGCGGCACGGCAAAAATAATATATTTGACCACGGCTGCTGATCACGGGCACAAAGCAAGCTTATATATAACAACTTTGGCGAATTTTGATGTAAAGCTTTCGTGACTGCAGGGATTCATATTCTTGGTTCTTATAATAAAAATATATTTTATTGTTTCCCTTCCACGCGACTTTACCGAAAGAACCAAGAATATAACTCTGAACGAAGTTCAAAGTTGAGCAGCTAAGGGAGAGGTTGCTTGTGACTCGCCAATGTACAGGGCGGTCCAGATGTCTTGTGACCCCCATTTATTTCTATGTACAGGTAGTCCCCGACTTACGATGGAGATGCGTTACAACGAACCCCATCGTAAGTCGAAAATATCGTAAGTCGAAGATGGCCTAACCTACTCAGGAGCCTTAAAGAATGGTGATAATTTAGCAAAACAGAGCAATTTACAGTACCGTACTGTATAAACTATACACTGTGGGTATTTATTCATTACTATACTGTATTGCACAGTAACATGTAAAGTAAAAAAAAACAAGGTAAATTCTTAGCCTACCGATATGAACTGCGATTTAATAGAAAGTTTTTTCAGGAAACAATCCTATCTGCTATTTAAAAAAAAAACTTTTAACATGCATTGAACGTATCGTATGGTAGTAAC